GAGCTTGTATGAGGTGGCCAATGGCAAAGGAGATAGCTCAGGGACTAAAGGACTCAGAGCGTAGCAGTGAGAACTGAGCCCAGATCCCCAGAATTCGTGTGAAGAAGATACAGCTGCACATATCTGGAAGCCCTCACTGCTATGGCGACATGGAAGGTGGAGACCAGGTTTCCTCAGGCTTGTAAGCCAGCTAGCCCAGCACATGTAGCAATGAACAGACCTTGTTTCAAACAAGATGGAAGATGACGACCGATACCTAAGGTTGTCCTCTGACCTCCACTGAGGCATGTATACACCTGCATATCACACATGCACGCACGCACGTGCGCGTGCACACACACACACACTCACAGAGGGTAACTGGTAACCTGTGATCAAATAGTGTGGTAACTAATGAAAGGCGTGGTGTTGAGATTCCAAAAGCTAACTCACAGCTACCTAGAATGTCAACAGAGGAAACGATCTAGATATGTTGCCAGCATTTTTTTTCTCCCCCAGAATGCAAGAATTGTTGGGGAACTCACTGGCTTCCGTCCAGTCCGGCCTCAGGTTCGGCTAGAAAGAGAGCAGCTTCATTTTGGATCTTCGAGTGCAGAGGTGCGCTGGGTCAAGGGAAGTGATGCCTGCCCCAACTCCAACAATAACCCCGCCATTTCCCAAGGAAACGTCATTTCCTGAGATCAGTTGGTGGGCACCCCCACCCATAAATGGGGACAATGAGGCTTGAGACGGGAAAGGACTGAGTTTTAAACCAGGTGGCAGGACAGACTGGTGACCTTCCTAATCCACCTTGAAGCTCTTCAGATAGGAACAGCTTTCTCTGCCCTCCTGAGAAAACAGGACTGCTGTTGGCGGTGGCACCTGCTTAAGTCTGACCACTGGTGACAGGAGGGGCTGTGTGTATAACTTGAACTTGACTTGAGGCATTTCTAGGATGCTCACTTGGTAGCTGTACCATTATCTTTTGGGGGGAGCTCCTCTTGGGTCACCTCACCAGGGGTGGGAGCTGAGAGCATGGAATCCGTTGGTTATTCTGTGCCAAAGGGAAAGAGCTGGGCAAGTATGGGCTGTACCAAGGTTATCTTTCTCTTCTTATCTCAGACAGAGTGCGGTGTGTGGAGGGGTGTGTGTGTGAACATTGTGCATGTGTAGACAGAGGGGCACAAATGAGTGTGTATAGATGATTGTGTGTGTGTGTGTGTGTGAATGAAGATGAATGGAACTATGCGGCAGATGTCGCTGGCTTCCAGGTTTCGTGGTTCTGCATTTCCTGTACTAGGGGTTGAAGTATCTAGGGAACCACCCCATCCCTCCTCAAATAGTTTCCCTCAAGCTAGTCCCAGGCCCTGCCAAGCATCCCACTAATACACTGATGGAGCTCAGTTTAACCAAGTCTTTTCAGAAAGTTCCTAGTCTTCCAGTGTAGCCAAGCTTTCCTGAGCCCCTCTTTGATGTCCCTTCCACACCTGGCCACCATCTCTCTTGATTCTCCCAGGTCATCCATAATTATGGTCACGGAGGCTACGGGCTCACTATTCACTGGGGTTGTGCAATGGAGGCAGCCAACCTCTTTGGAAAAATTCTAGAAGAAAAGAAGTTGTCCAGGATGCCGCCATCCCACCTCTGAGGACTCTAGTGACCGTCACTTGCCCCATGAGGACATCCCAGTGCCCTACAGCCAATTAACTGATATCCTCTTTGATGATTCTTCACTCCCCACTCCCTGACTTCCTTAGGCAAAAGTGTGAGGTGAGGAAATCCTGGTGCTCCACTCATCCATCACAGCCTAGTCCTCCCCACGCATCCCATCTGGTAAAGCATCTGCAGGGATCCTGGCTGGTCCTAAGCCAGTCTACGTGAGACAGGCAAGCTCTAAGATCACATAACAATCCTGTTCTCTCGTACTGAGGCTGGTTGCACTGTGCGGCAGGGTCTGTGCTCTGGAGTGGTCCAGAAAGGAGTGATTGAGAAACCTTTGCCTAGAACTCTGATGAGTGATTCATGACACACTTGCTGTCTACCAGTAGTGACCGGAGGAGGGGGGACTTCTGTCCTCAGCACTTGGCTGGTCAACATTATTAAAACACTCTTTGGACATCCAAACTCTCTTCAGGGTTGAACCTAAGACATGCTTTCCCCTCATTCTCACCAGCATGAAGGCCATCTCTGTGGTCTTGAGGAGACTCTATCTAGGTTGTACCTGTTTGTGCAAGGGCAGGAGAAAGGGTGAGGGCATAGCTCAGAGCCTTGAGCATGGAAGGTAAGAGCTCTACCGCAGAGCTGAACCTCATGCTCTTAAGACTTGAAATCAGAGAGAGGTGACCAACCTTGGTACACTGAATATCTTTTTTTTAACCTTTGTTAATCTACTGTGTACATGTATGTAGGTGTGAACATCCACAGTCATGATGTTTTGGGATCAGAGGACAACCTGTAGCAGTCAGTTCTCTCCTTCCACCCTGTGGGTTCCAGGGATCAAATTCAGGACATCTGTCTTGGCAGTAAGCGCCTTTATGCACCGAGTCATCTCACCAGCTTACTGAACATATTTTGACATTTTCTGAAATACATTCTCATGTGGAAAGAAACAGATGACATTCCCACTAATAAACCTTCTGTAACAGGATTGCTTAAAATTAGATCCCCGGCCTCCTGCTCAAGGTCCAGTGGGTTTCTGAGGCAGGAGGCTTTGTGGCAGGCCTTGCACTGCTCAAAAATACTGATCTCTAAAAAAAAGTTTATTCCACTGTGTGTGTGTGTGTGTGTGTGTGTGTGAGAGAGAGAGAGAGAGAGAGAGAGAGAGAGAGAGAGGGAGAGAGAGAGAGAGAGAGAAAGAGAAAGAGAGAGAGGGAAGAGCGAGAGAGCATGCATGCATGTGTGTGTGTTTTGCTTTTGAGGGATTTCATGAAGCCCAGACTGGCCTCAAACTCACCATGTAGCTGAGGATAACCTTAAACTTCTGATCCTCCTACTTCCCCCTCCAAAGTGCTGAGATTACAGGTGTATACCTAACTTTAAATTTTAAAACAATGAGTTAATTTTTCTCCCTTGGATAGAAACTACAAGCCTCTTCATTGTAGCCCCTGGAGAACACTCCTGCCCCAAACCCCAACTTCTTCCCCATTACAGCTGGGTTATTTGAGGGTGAAGAAGTGAAAATGACCACCTGGAGGGAGAGTGAAAGAGAGAGGGGGAAGGAGGGATGGAGTGGGAGGGAGGGAAGGAGGGAGGGAAGGTGGGAGGGAGGGAGGGAGGGGAAGAGAAGCAAAGGGAAGGCTGTCTGTTACTCAGGAGAGCTGAACCACCCAGAAATAATTTCATGAAATTCAAGATTCAAGAAAATGTGGCTGATCTAGGCAGTGGTGGAGCCATAGGGAGTCTGAGATAGGAAGATCAAGAGAGTAGGGCTAGCCTGGGCTACACTTCTGAAGACTGTCTCAAATATCAATAATGGTAATAATGATAATCACCAAACTTATCCCATGAAGAGGCCACTGTCTCATCCTCATCCCATTAACAGTGTTGTCTCCACCAAACTCAAGGTCCCAATGCTGCCCACCAGCCGGGTGACTGCACCTCCTAGGAGAGGGGATTGTGTCAAAGTACTTCCTCGGATAGACCAAGTTAGCTGACTTGGAGTGAACTGTCACTACAACATCTTGACCAATGACCAGACTTAGAGTCTGTAGTGTCTGTCACCAACATTTTAATAAGAGATGATTGCACAACGCACATTCAGCTTCCTTTCGCTGTGTGCGTTGAGCAGTGGGGGGGTCAGTTTCCTCTGGCCTTTGATGGGGCCTGGCAGTTTCCTTCCTCCCCCAGCGTGTTTCCTCCCTGAATCTCGGGGAGAAGGCTTGTGTGTTCCGGCATCTGGGAGTGCACCTGGACTGCCTGCCGGAGACCTATATCCGGTTCTCCCTCCTGAGGCCAAGACAATGGCTTCCCCTCCCCTATGACATGAACTTTTCTGATCCTTGTGCCAGAACATCCTCCCAGGACCTGCCTCAGTAGGGCCAGTGCTGCTCTTGACAGAGGGGGCATGGGAGAGTGCAGAGGCTGACCCAGAAAGGACAACGGGCTCCTGGTCCCAAGACCTGCTTCACCCTGGAGATCCCTCAGCCCATGCAGCCATCTATACACAGCATAGTCCTGAAGCCTGAGGAGACATGGACTCGCCACTCAGCAGGGCTGAGGGGGAGCCGAAACAGAGGGCCCAGAAAGGCCTTCACTTTTTCAGCATAGTCTCTGGTTGAGTCTTCCCCTCAGCTAGGCTCCAGTCTCCAGTTTCCAGGTTGGGGAATGGGGTAACAGCTTTTGGAGGTGATTGCCTGGTGGGCACCTAGCTCTCCCCAGAGACATAGCCAGAGACAGTGACTCCAAAGGGAGGATGCCAGGTTGGGGCTGCTTGGCTCAAATTCAGGGGCATATTCATCTGCCAGTTTCTACCCAGCAGGCCCTGGAGAGACATCTAAAGGGGCCCAGCCAAGGAAGCAGTGGGCGTCTGTGGCTCCAGAAAAGCTGCTTGGGCCAGACACTAGTTCACCTTAATTCCAAAGAAAGCCTGAGGCCAGGGTGCAGAAAAAACCTACTGGACAAAAATGGCAGGTGTCACAGGGGTCTGGGCCTGGACTGTATCTTTGGAGATCTTTGGGCGGTGGTTCTCCAAGGGTGTGACTGGGTAACTATATGACACCTGCTCAGCTGGTCCTGAGCATCCTGGGACCCTCCCGCAGTAGCAGTATCCCCATGCAGATCCACAGTGATGTACAAACCTTCCCCCACCACAGAGAACCCCCTGGAGTGAATGCCACCCCACCTTCCCAGGGTGAGCAACCCTCGATGAACATGGCCAAACACAGTGAAGAAACAAAACCCTGTCAGTCCACATCACCCCGTTGGGTAAGTTCTTGACATAGGCAGTGACCATAAGTGTCCCAGCTGGGCTCTGCCAGCTGCCTAGGCTCTACAACCTCAAAGACCAGCTCAACCCCCAGGGGTTATTCCTGAGAGCCAGAGTTCGACCTGGGGACACCTTCACTGTTGGTCCCTCGACCAACCATCTCCTGGCCCCACTCCCTGTGGCTGGATTCCTGAAGTCCTCGGCCTTTGGTCTCTATGGGCAAAAAGCAGGAGGCCACGGCAGCCAGGAGGCAACATCCACTGTAGACAGCCAAGGTCAGGTACACAGAAGATTCCAGCATCACCTATCGAGGGAGATGGAGGTAGATAAGAACATCTCAGAGCCACAGGCAGGCCATATGACTGACAGCTAGCTGAGCATTTCACCCCATTTCACAGACAGGAGCACTGAGGCTCAAGAGGATAGACAAACTGCCAGGTATGGTGACACACATGCCTAATCCTAGCACTGAGAGGCTGGAGGATTGCTGGAGTTCAAGGCCAGCCTGGGCTACAGAATAAGACATATCTCAACAGGGCTGGAGAGATGGCTCAGAAGTTAAGAGTACTGGCTGCTCTTCCAGAGGACCTGAGTTCAATTCCCAGCATCCATATGGTGGCTCCCAACCATCCCTTACGAAATCTGGTGCCCTCTTCTGGTGTAAAGATATACATGGAAGCAAAAAGTTTTATACATAATAAATAAGATCTTAAAAAAAAAAAAAAAAGACATCTCAACAAACAGCCTAAGGAGCATATTCAAGCTCATATAATGAGGATAGGGCTGAGATTTGAACTCAGACCAGTTAGGCTTAAGATTCTGAATGTTGGCCATGTGGCGGTGATGCACGCCTTTAATACCAGCACTTGGGAGGGTAGGGGCAAGAGAATCCTGCATCTACATTAGTCCTAGATATATAGTAAGACCCTGGATCAAAAACCAAAACCACCGCTGGGCAGTAGTGGCACACGCCTTTAGTCATCAGACTCGGTGGTAAGCATCTCACTGACCCAACTTATCTTTAATACAATCACATTTAATGATGTGATCTACTCCTTACAAAGGTGATGAAGACTAAAAAGCTGGCTATTTAGACATGGACAGGACTGTTTAGCGGACACAGAGTTACCAAGTTTGGTAACTCACTCAAATCATCCAATTCAGAAAAGGAAGACAGACATCGGGTATAAACCGGTGTCTGTTGTTTGTTCTTTGGGTCAATATCCCATTTTTTCCTTGGTCTTGAACTCTGCTCTCAAGCCCCCCTCCCACCTCAGCCTCCCCAAAGTGGCTGGGACTCCACCCAGTATATCCAAATCCTCTGGTACCCTCAGGGCTTGCTGCACTGGGAAGAGCTGAGTTTTATCCCAGGCTTGTCTGAGTCCCTGCCAATGACCTTGGGCCCTTTATCCTTCTGAGACTCTTCTTTCCTGGGGTGCGCTGCTACAAAATGCTGTCCAGTCTATAGTTACAGCTGGCTGCCTCATGGATCTGTATTTGGGGCAACACTTGCCTGAGCAATGAACGGAGTAATGAGGGCGCCCACTCTTGCCATGCCGCTGCAGGTGCCCAGGCCCAGTGCCCTCGTCGCCGTGGGGTACACCTGGAATGTCAGTGCATTAGCCAAATGTCGTGGGGAATACAGAAATACCTCACCACTCCCTACTCAGGACAGATGGAACTGACACCTGTGGGAAGCATGGGGGAACAGGCAAAGGAGGTAGGAGGTTCACCCAAGGCAGAGAGCATGAGGTGACCCTGGGCAGGAGCCCATTTACTGCGGGAGGGGTGTTTCACAATTGGATTTTCTAGTTAACCATGGTGGGGGTGGAGTGTATACAGAGTGCTTGCCTGGCATGGTGAGGCCCTGGGTTCCATCCCAGTACAGTGGGAAAATCTATGTAAACAGTTCAGTATGGAGATCTGGATACAGGATACACATGCATAATTGCTGATAATATATAAGTGTCTAACATATGGCTGGTGCTCAATATAAAATGAATAAAGGGATTAATTCTACAGTTCTGTTTTTCTCTGCTGGAGAGCTTCAAGAGTCCCATGCTGAAGTCAGCAATGGCTGCTCTCCTGCAGGCTCTATGTGTAAGGATTCAGACATTATGCTAGCCTGTCCCTGTCACCTGGCAGAATGCACTCAGGCAGTACTCTGGTCAGCCCAGGGTTCCATGACTATGACTATGTAGTCTGCATGAAGGTACAAAGGACCACTTTAAAAGAAAGACCTCCACCCACTTATGCTCTCTTTCCTGCTGCTCCTCTGAAGGGGCAGACGGGACTTTTCCTATCTCCCTCTTCTCTTCTGTCCTCTGTCTCTGTGTCTCCTTACCTTTTTTCTCTTTCCTTCCCTTTCTAATAAAACTCACTTAGGCTCTGTCTGCCTGTCATGTTTGTCCCTTACCCACCATGGAATCTGCCAAGGTCCCCACGCAATTTATTATAACACTGTGCTTATTTCAACCAAACCCCATTCACCTTCTGCTCCTCCTGAGCTAATGGAAGCAGGACACAGATGGGGTGCATCACACCCCAAGACACTTCTGCTTGTGCTGTTCTGAGTCATTTCATTCTGTTGGAAATGCTATTGGCCCTCTCACACCCATCTCTGGTTTTCCGCACTAGTTTTGTTTGTTTCTTTCTTATTTTGTTGTCTGAGTGTGTATTCTCCTTTAAATTTTTTAAATCCAGTTTTACATTTGTTTTGGTGTGTGTGTGTGTGTGTGTGTGTGTGTGTGTGTGTGTGTGTGTATGTGTGCCCTTAGAGGCCAGGAGAGGGCATCAGAGCCCCTGGAGCTGGAGTTACAGGCAATTGTGGGTGCTGGGAACCAAACTCAGGTTCTCTGGAAGACCAATATATACTCTTAACCATTGAGCTATCTCTCCAGCTCTTAGTCTCGGTTTTCACAGGCTACACAGAAACCCACCACTTGGATGGGTTGTCACCTATTCATGGTCACCAACAGCAGCTGGCTGAGGTTAAGCTAGGCTTAGAGAATTTAAAAGCTTTTTTAAAAAACTGTTTCTTTTGTTGTTGTTTTTCTTTTTCTTTTCTTTTTTCAGTACTGGGGGTCAAATCCAGGGCCTTGAGCAAGAAAGGCAAACACTTTAGCATTGAGCTACCTGCCCAGCTTGCAAATACTGCAGAAGGTTGTCTCCAGGAAGGGAGAATGTGGGCCCTGCCCCATCTGCATTGGCTCTACACACTTAGGCAACCTCTGGAATTTTACACTGAGCTTGAAGCTTGTCTGAGCAGGAAAAAAAAAAAAAAAAAAGAGTAATTGCAAAGTAAGTGGAAGTAATGAGGGGACACTGGGGCCACCCAGACCCAAGAACAATTAATATTCTGGTCAGACAACACCCCCATGTCCCCACTCCACTCTCAGGCACCTCTCCTACCTCAGGCGTGTAAACATAGGCCGCTTGGAAGCCTCCAGAGATAAATGCTCTTGCAATGAAGAGTAACAGGGTGAGCATGTTTCTGGGGAGAAGCAAACAGCAGGTAAGGGTTTTATTCTGTCTCATTCTCTACCTTCTCAGGAAGGTAGCAAAGATGCTACCTTCTCAGGAAGAATTGACACCTGAATCAGCAAAGGTCCCCTGACCCAGCACATCCACACAGACGCACCTCTTAAGTTCTGTCACTAAACCTCTGCTCTTAGAGTACACTGTTTTCCACCCAGCACCCTCAGCTGACAGATGGGAACGCCTGTGGTACACCGCTGGGAGTGGGAGTGGGGAAAACAGTCTGAATGGTTGAAATCCTGGGGCGGAGGCTCAGTGACAGAATACTTGTTTAGCACATGTGAGGCCGTGGATCCTAGCAGAACCATGCTTGGCATCCTTAGGGCATTCCTCATCCTTTGATGACCCAGACTTCCAACCCTTCAAGGTCTAAGCCCCATCTCTCCCGCCCCTCCTGTGGTCCACTGATTCTTCAGCAGGATTAGTTTGAGGCCCCTCAGGGGTCATGTCTATATTCAGGGCTCTTAGGAATTAGAAAACAAGAGAAATGTATCTTCAGTAGGGTCTGTTTGAAACAAGGTCTATTTCCATCAAACACCACTTTAACACACACACAACTTCTGTGGCCACACTGCTCTTGTTTGGGGAGCTCATGGTGTGGAGGCTTGAATGAGAAAAGTCCCCTTAGGCTCTAGATTTGGATGCTCAGACATCGGGGGGTGGCATGTCAGATTATGGGTAAGCCACAGCCACGTGGCAAAACATAGATTAATAGAAATGGGTTAATAATTAAGACAGAGCTAGCCAATAATAAGCCCTAGCCATTGGCCAGCAGTTTATAAATTAATATAAGTCTTTGTGTGTTTATTTGGGGCAAAGCCACTGTGGGACAAGGCAGGACAGAAACCCCCATCTTCAGTGGCACTACTTGAAGGAGATTAGGAGGTGTAGCTGTGCTGGAGGAAGTATGTCTCTAGGAGTGGGGTTTGAGGTTTCAAATGCTCAAGCCAGACCCAGCATCTCTTTCTTTTCCTGATGCCTGCAGACCTTATGTAAAACTCTCAGCTCCTTCTCCAGCACCATGTCTGCCTGCATGCCACCATGCTTTCTACCATGATGACAATGGACTAAAGTCTGAACTGTTAGCCAGCTCCAATGACATGTTTTCCTTTATAAGAGTTGCCGAGGTCATGGTGTCTCTTCGTGGCAATAGAACAGTGACTGAGACACATGGGAACTCTAAACTTGAAATTCTTAGAAATAAAACTGAGGCACACACACACACACACACACACACACACACACACACACACATGCACGATCCCTTGCTGCCCTGTTGGAGGCTTTGACCTTGGGCTTTGACCTTGAGTCTGACCATCTGTCTGTCACGAAGTGCCATGAGCCTTAGTCCTGGTGAGGGGCTGGGGTTCTTCCTGATACCCACCTTCCAATGCAGATGAACAGCAGGAGGCTGCAGAGGGAGAAGATGACGAAACACAAGGCCATGGTCTTCTTGCGCCCCAGGCGGTCGATGACCCACAGAGTCACAAGGACGCCTGTCAGGAGAGCAGGGACATGGTAGGTAGCTTCTCAGTTGGTTCCTAATGACTCGCCCTATGTCATCTTCCACCCCTGAGAGTGGACCAGCCCCGCTGAACCCATAAGCTCTGGGTTTAGACCCAGTCCAGTTTTCAGACAGCACAGCAGACTCCATCCAGGCCAATGCCTGCTGAGTCTGTGTGAGAGTCAATGAAGCAGGGGACCTGGGAAGCCACTTCTAGGTCCCTGATCTGGTCACAGCAACCAGGAGACAAGTGTGCAATGTTCCAAGTCTCTAAGGGAAAGGGTGATGTGTTGTTAGAAGGAACGAGGCAACAAAACAGGCAGCACAGGAACCTGAAGGATGGCATCTGCCATAACCAGGCAGCAGAATGTCCAGGCTGGGACTCACACCTCGTTGGGTTCAAAGGACTCTTGTTTATTCTAACTTGCCATGTAACCAGGAGCCTGTCTTCCCTGTGCCTAATGCAATTGGGGGAAGACATTTTAGGTGAATGATAGAGTGGACAGGTGCTGGAGAGATGACTCAGAGGTTAAGAGCACTGGCTGCTCTTCCAGAGGTCCTGAGTTCAATCCCCAGCAACAACATGGTGGCTTACAACCATCTATAATGAGCTCTGGGTCCCTCATGCAGGCAGAATGGGACACAGTTCTGAGCTCTGCCAGCAATGGGACATTCAGTGTCTTAAGCAAATTTTTACAAATTTTTACAAGGCCTTGGGACAAGGGTGCAGGTTCAAGGTGGTGTTGTCTGTGGAGGTGACCCAGACAAACTCCAGTTGAAGATGGTGTACTGAAGACTCCACTTAGCCTTCCCTGAGCAGAATGAAATGGCTGAAAAATGGAAGGCTGTAGGAGCCAAAAGGATCATGGGCTACCTTTAGCCCCTTTAATAGCTGTTTAGCATTGATTCATCACTGGATTCGACATTGTCCTTTTCAGACGGGGGGAAAAAGGAGGAAGGGAGGGAGACAGATCACCTTTGCATGGTGTTCAGGTTTGGAAGTTTGATGGCCCCCACCACAACCAGGTCTTTTCCAGTGCATCCAGTGATTGGGGAGGGGGGATCTCCACAGCTCCCATCTCTGCGCAAGTCCTGAGCTGCTTTTCTGTTCTAGACTGTCATTTCAAGATTGTTTATACAACAAACAGCCTCAGAGGGTAAGGACACTATGCCCTCTGGAGCAATGGCAGAGGGATCTGGAAGCCAGTTATAAAGTTCGGGCTTCCTGAGCTTGTGGTTCCTCAGTGCTGTGGTTAGGACATGGTTTGAGTGTGTACCCCAAGGAATTATGTGTTGGGAGGTTGGCCCCAGTGTAGTGATGTCAAGAGGAAGGCCACTGTCTCTCTGGTTTCTTGTCTCTCCTTTCTTAGGCTCTCACTAATGGGCTACCACACCCTGGGAGGTTCTGGTCAGAGCCCAGCCAATGCTGGCACCCTGCCGGTTAGCTTCAGAACTGTGCACTAAATACACTTCTTTATAAAGGATGTAACCTCAGGTGCTTCATTATCACAACGGGGTAGAGATTCCCACATCTGCACAGCAGATCTTCTGCTTAGACCTTCCTAATCATGGTTGCAGAGTAGGGCAGTGAGCCCCAACATTAATATATGACCCTTGCTACTGGGCAGAGCTGCAGTAGGGTTCTTGTGACAGTGAGTGGCTGTTTGCAGCAATAGCCCAGGAGTCTTGCTCTTTAGACAGAATGCTTGAAACTAGGAAGCCTGACTTGTTAGCCTTCAAGTAGGGTCTGACTCTCAGGCCTCTCACCATTATTTGGAACATGTAGCAAAGGGCTGAAAAAAAAAAACTCAGGGCTTGCTGTTTGTTTTTTGTTTTGTTTTGTTTTTCTTTTAAATCCTAAACAGATGGTAGGCTTTCTCGCCCCAGTCTCACCTGGGAACTCAGACAGGGTGGTCCACAGTAAGTCCATGTAATCCTCCTTGCTCAGGTATTCACAGGCTAAGCTGCATTTGGCTTCCACTGCCTTTTTCCTGCTGGAGACTAAGGTGGGGAGAGAGGAGCAGGGATGGTCACACAGTCTTGTACCACAGCTTCCTGCACCCTAGCCCTCTGTTGTAGAAATGACTTTAACTATGTAAAGGTGTGTTACATTTGTTTATGCTGCATTTGTTTAATGGTGTAAAGATGTGTGACATTTATGTTTCATTTGTTTAACAATATAAAGATGTGTTACATTTGTTTAAGCTACATCTGTTTAATTATGTAACGATGTGTTGCATCTGTTTCACCTTGCTGCCCTAAGGCACCTGATTGGTCTAATAAAAAACTGAATGGCCAATAAGAGCTAGGAAGAAGAGAGATAAGCAGGCTGGTGGACAGAGAGAATAAGTAGGAGAAATCTAAGGCAACCAAAGAGCAAAAGGAAGAAAAGAGGAGAGAAGGAAGGAGAAAGAAAGGGAGATAGATGTTACCGGATTTCCTGCCCAGTTTCCAAAGCCACCTCAGAGCCCCAAATAAACACTTGGATGCTATATTAGTTATGAATACTGTTGGCTGGTGACTAGGGCTTCTTATTGGCTAGCTCTGTCTTAACTATTAACCCATAACTACTAATGTATTATATCTACATGGTCTTCTTTTACCAGAGAAGGAGTCCAGACCTGTTACTCCTCTTGTGTCCTACATCGTGGCTCCTCTACCTACGTTACCCAGAATCCTCCTCTGCTAGTCCCACCTATCTTGCTTCCCTATTGGCCAATAGTGCTTTATTAATCAACCAATAAGACAAACATATACAGAAGACATCCCCATCATCTCTTTGGGCTGCTACTCCCCAAAGCCACTCAGCCACTGTGTCTCCTACTGTTGGTGACAACTGGATCTTTGCTGGTTTACCCCAGCAAATAAAAGTATTTACACACACACACACACACACACACACACACACACACACCCAAGCACACAGGAATCTCTCATACAGGGCCTCTTTCCTGCTAGGCGTGGCAGAATTGTGTAGCTCTTGAAGCTTGAAACATTTTTCAAGTGGTTCTTGACAAAAAAAGTCCCCCAACCTCTGCCTCCTGACAGTGCTCAGATGTCCACTGTCTGAGGGCTGTCCCCTCTTCTCAGTCAGTACCAACCCCCCCAAAATCAGAGCTGCAGTTGGGATGCTTCTACAGAGCTTAGCTTCTCATTAACACCCCCAGTTACCACAGGGCTGTACCATCTAAGACTTGTAATGAATGAATAATTTAATGAATTGTGCTGGACAGATTGAACCCAGGGCCTCAGGGTTTGCTAAGGGCATAGTTTACCACTGGGGTCTCTTCTCAGCATCCAGTGTATGAAACTGTCACCCAAGATCCCTTAGGCTTTACTGCAAACCCTGAAAGAGCTTGATTCTTTTCCCCTCTGCCCTGAATTCAATGTCAGAATCCCACCGTTGCCTTCAGATAGAACCAACTAACAGGCTACACATCTGCACAGACACATTTCTCTTTATTTCTTTAATTTGTCTGGTGATTTCTGCTTCACAATACAATCCCCTGAGGAACTTTTAAACCTGACTAATACATGAGCCTCATCCATGCTGATTAAATTGGTCTGGAGGGGGTTTAAATGGTGCTGGCATTGTGTCAAAGTTCCCAGGTGGGGGTTGTGAATCAGTGGTAGAGTGCTTGCCTAGCATGCAGGAAGCCCTGAGTTCCATTCCGGTTGGGAAATCCCCTCCTATGGAATGGGTGGAGCTCCACCCCTGCTGACTTGTTCTCTCAGGAGAAGAACACATTAGCCACTGCCCAGGATCACAAACATAAAACTGGGCGCTGAGCTTTAGCCCTTTGGGGGGATTTGGAAAGACTGTTTTAGCTTTGTGCAGTCCTCGCCTTTAAGACCATTAGTGAAAAATGGATCAGGAGGCCTCAGGGCTGAGGCAGCCCAGTGCCTGGGGATGCTCTGTGGACAAGCTCCAATCAGAAGCTGCAGCTTTGGGAGGATTCCAGAGCACTCCAGCAGCTCATCGGTGAGGTATTCAGTCCTTTCCTTGTCACACTTGTGAGGCAGCTGTCCTCTGTGAGCTTCAGCTCCTGTACTAAATGGAGCCCCCAGGCTAAGGGACAGAATCTAAACCAGGAGACTCATGGAAACATAATACATTCGGTTTTTTAGTTTTTACCATGAGGTTTTCTCCAATTCTACAACTGTGTGTGTGTGTGTTTGTTTGGTTTTTTGTTTTGTTTTGAGGCAGGGTTCTCCGTGTAGCCGTGGCTGTCTTGGAACTCACTCTGTAGACCAGGCTGGCCTCGAACTCAGAGCTAGCTCCATCTGCATCTGCCTCCCGAGTGCTGGGATTAAAGGTGTGCACCACCATCACCCAGCTCTATAACTGCTCTTAAAAGCACGGTAGAAGCCTGGGTGTGATGGCACACACCTTTAATTCCAGCATTGGGAAGCAGAGGAAGTTTGAGGTCAGCCTGGTCTACACAGAGTTCCAGGCTTAGACTTTATCTAAAAACATAAAAGCCCACCAGGGAACTAGGCATGGTGGTACATTCCTGTAATTCAACATTTATCTAAGAGTGGGGATGCATGCCTAGAATCCCAGCACTTAGGAGGCTGAGGCCAGCTTCTGCCTTAAAAAAACAAACCAAAACAAAAACAGATCTTCATTTCATTTATTTAGTTAGTTATTTTGGTGGTGGGGAATGAACCCAGGATGTTACATGTGCTAAGTGGAAGTGCCCCTTGGCTCTTGATATGTGTTCCCCTCAGGTCTTTGGGCAGAGGTGAAATCTCCCCTTACATCCCCTCAGCAGAGTGCAAACAGACTGTTCTTTCCTCAAGTGAGACTGATCAGCGATACCTCAGTTTATCAGTAAATGCTGCCAACTTCAGAGCCCGACCCCTGACTTGGGGTGGAACTGGGCACATGTCATCTCTGTCATCACAAAGTTGCTCAGAGTTTTGGGAATTAGGAATTTATGACACAGCAATGACAGCAACACCTCACAGGGGAGAGAGTGTGACTGTGTTCACTGTGTGTGTGTGTGTGTGTGTGTGTGTGTGTGTGTGTGTGTGAAGTGATACTCACTGCTGCAGATATCTCCCGCCTGGAAGAGTTCCGTGGTGAGCAGAACCAAGCCGTAATAAGAAAAGGCATTGGAAAACCTGTGAGGGGAAGCCAGGATGGAGACATCAGAGAGGTGCAAGGCTCCTCCCAGCCCCAGGGGATCTATTCCCTCACCAGTCTTTACAAGGTCTTGGAGCTTTTCAGGGACCCTGAGTGGGAAGATGGCTGATGTGACCACCATGATGGGACAGAGGGACATGATCCTGTGTTCTTGGAAGGATCAAGATGGACTGTGTGACATCCCAAGATGGACAGCATGGCATTCCCTCTGGCATCTAAGGGGCTTCTGGGCTAATGGGGGCGGGGAGGAACATGATTTTTAGAATTTCGCAGTGCAATGACACTTCTTTCCTCCTGCGTGGACCTGGAATTTGCATTCAGAATATACAGAACTAGAATATTCATAAACAGCCATGTGTGGACTCAGACTCAACCAGAGGCTGAGGGTTAGCTTCCCAGGTTACAACGAGGTTTGCAAACAGTGTCTCCTATGGTTCAGTCAGCCTGACTAAAGCAGGCTGATGTGATTGGTTAAAATGCCATTTCCTTTGTCCTCTAGATCTATTTCTTTAGACCATCCTGTGTTCTTGACCACTGATTTCAAGCATAACATTCCTGTAATATGTTACATGCAACTGTCTGAGACAGAGGGTGGGGAGGAAATTCTCACGTGGCTCACGGATGGCTAGTGATGCCAAAAGACTTCTTCCATCATAGCTCTACTGACTAACTGCTGCCCTGACAAGTGCCTTCTTGCCTGCCCAGTCTCATTTTGTCAAATCCTAGGAATGACCCCCTCCCTAGTGCCACAGGATATAAATCAACAAACGTGACATTGAATCAACATGGAGGAAACATAATCCGAAATTGCCAGAAACAAACAAACAAAATGCCATGGTGAAGATTCTCCTAGGCTGATAGAATGAATATGGAGAGTTGGAACATTGCAGACTCAGAGCCAAAATTCTCTTGGGCTATCTTAATAGCCATGTATTTGCCCCACCATCTCCCTCTAACCTTTCAACTATGGAGTAAAATGGATGGAATGTATTAACCGCTCGCTTCCACCAAATAAATAAATATTCACAAGCAAAAAAAAAAAAAGGAAAAAAATTAAGAATGATCAGGTTGTGGTAACTGAGACTAGCAAGCGGAGTCATTTGGCAAATGTCTTGTTTTACGGCTTCCTTGTTTCTGTGACTATAGCTCTTTATTTAACCACTTCCACATGGGGACACATCAAAATCACTTCCGAACAAACTTTGTTCTCTTTGAGGTAAGAACTGAGTTTGACATTGACAGGATTAAAATTAGCCTCTCACAAATTGCTTTAGGGATTCAAAATCAATCCAAGTAAATTACAGATTCTTTGAAAATTATTTAATTTTTCCTTTGGAATTACAGATCCTTAAAGGAAGGTATCTCGGTTCTGTCCAACCTCCCTTTCTAAAAATCCTATGGGCGCCACTTTGAAACCTGCACACAGCAGGTGCTAATAAGTGCTTGGAGAATTGATTCAGCTCTTAGGAACTCGGAGGCAGAACTCAAGCCTGGCTCTGTGCTAACAAGCCTTTCTTCCCTCTTCCCTGTAATTGACCATGCTGGGAACACCTCTCTCATAATCAATGTGAAAAGGTGAAAAGGAAGCTTGGAACCAGCTTAAAAATAGAACACAAATCCTCCAGCCACACGGTGCCTTGCACTGGCGCTGATGCACTCGAGATCTGGAAATGAAAGAAGAATGGCTGCAATTGGACTTCTACAAAGAGGAAAATAATTACTCTCCAAATTTGCCTCCCTTCTGGTCTCCTCCCACGGCTGTCACTTAGGAAAAATTAAACTGGGCAGGAACTGGGCGGCAGGTGGGGGGGGGAGTTCCCATGAATGGCTGTGTTGCCCACGTCTTGGTTTTCAAAGGATACCACAGGTGGTAGCTGAGGCAACAGGTACAGAGAGGGGGGCCCTGGCCAATGTAAACAGTGGCCTCCTGGAGGAAGGTCCTTTGGAAGTTTTCTTTCAGTTCCTTGAGTTGCATCAACCTCATCATGTGCTCTTGACTCCTGAGCATCTGCCCTTACTCCAGTTGCCCTGTCTCTCCAGTACACAGTGAGCTCAGCGCCTGGGCACACCAGCTGCCCTGTCTCTAGTACATGGGCTCAGCGCCTGGGCACACCAGCTGTACAGTCACTTTACTGTATCCACCTTGAGAGCATCATTATTGATAGCTTGCAACTCAAACATTTTCTTAAAGAGCAGAAATAGAAATGTCTCCTTTTTAAAAAAGATTTATTTATTATGTATAGTGTTCTGTCTGCATGTATGCCTGCACGCCAGAAGAGGGCACCAGATCTCATTACAGATGGTTGTGAGCCATCATGAGGTTTCTGGGAATTGAACTCTAGACCTCTGGAAGGGCAGCCAGTGCTCTAAACTTCTGAGCCATATCTCTAGCCCTAAAAAATGTTTCCTTTAATAGCTACTTATCTGAGTAACTCCACAACAAGTTCAAAGTGAACAGCCCACATGGTCCTTGGTGCAGATGGGGTCAGGAGTGTGATGTTAACAGCAAACTTGGTGGCCAGCCTGTAATCCCAGCACCCCAGAGGCAGAGACACCATATCTCTATATCAAGCTGTCAAGCTTCAAGTGAGAGACCCTGCCTTGATTTACAAGGTTGAGAAAGACTGTGGCAGATGCCTGATGTCATCTTTGGGTGTCCCATGCATACATATGCATATACATATGTTCAAACACTCACATACACACAGACACACAGACACACACACACACACACACACACATAAATTTCAAGACCCAGCTATGTGCAGTGGGAGGGGCTCACAGTGGGCAGCCAGCAACTCTTACCATATAAACCACAGCAGCAGCGTTGTCCAGCGAAAGTGGGGTGTGAAAAGGTCCCTCATTTTGCCTCGGTCTTCCTGTTTCAAGACAAGGATGTGTGGGTTATTGGCTAGCTCCCAGTGCATATGGACCTTGTCTAGGGGCCTGATAGACACACATACATACATACACACACACCACACACACACACACACACACACACACACACACACACACACACAGACACACACACACACACACACACACACACACACACACACTGCTAGTGGCATAGCCAGGGTAGAGGATTCATCCCATTCCTTCCTGCTGAATCCCTGATAGGCTAGAGTCTTCATTACAACAGGCCAGAACCATGTGTGCTTCCAACATGGGGCAGGAGGCAGACCCCTGAGGTGGTCACTGTCAGGCCCGGCGTCTGTTTCAGTGCAAGGGGTATAAAATCATTCCACACACACATACAGTCAGTTCCTGGTCAGGGGCATCACAGTACATGTGCTGAGAGCCAGCTCAACACAGGCCAATTTGCCTGAAGACTGACTATCTAAATGACCCATTTGTCAATTCCACAAAAATTTAAAGAATTTACTAGCATTAATTTTCTTTTTCAAATCTTTGCTTAACAATATGCTTTTTAAGCTGGGCGTTGGTGGTGCATGCCTTTAATCCCAGCACTTGGGAGGCAGAGGCAGGCGGATCTCTGTGAGTTCGAGACCAGCCTGGTCTACAAGAGCTAGTTCCAGGACAGCCTCCAAAGCCACAGGGAAACCCTGTCTCGAAAAACCAAAAAAGTTGAGCTGGGGGCAAAACAGAAGCAGAAGCGGTTATGAAACGCACTGGCTGGCAGAATGTCTCCCTAATCACTGCTGCCTAAATTCTCCAGCAGTAGCTTAGAATTTGGCAGACTACCAGTTCCCTTTACCAGTTGCATATCAGCTTTCCAGTCCATGTACATAGACAAACACAGTCCATGTACATGCACAAACAGAAATGCAGGGCCACACCGGGTATCTGCACTCACTCACACATGTGCCCACACACAAATGCCAGCCTCTGCAATCGCTTCCTTGCATGTAGGCACTCACCTGTCTGGAGATGATAAGCTTCCCCAGAGGCATGGGGGCTCCATTTTCTGTTGCTATCCGCTTTAAAGTGGCAATCGCCTTTTCCTGGTTCCCGGACAGCACATCATACCTAGCACTCTCTGGCAGCCACTGAGGGAACAGGAGACCCAGGTGTGTCTGGTTAGTGTAGAACAGAGCACTCTTTCCAGGCCACCTGCTCTCATCTGTGTGGGGGGCCTTTGAAAGTTGGGTCTTTGGAATCAGAGACCTGGCTGTAAATGCTGGTTCCTGTGCAGTGCCATCACTTCCCTGTGCCTCTGCGGCTTCCCTCCTATCTTCAGGTGTTTAGAGGACTAAACAAGATAACAGAAGTGGAGAGCTTGGAGAAGAGCTGGTGTGAGTTCACGTAACTGTCATCACTGTCATGGTTGCTTTTAGAGTTTGGGGGAGAAGTAAATAGTGATCTCCATCAAAAAAAAAAAATCCCCCCTCAATTCTTGAGAAACTCTGCCTCCTTGTGCTTAGCATCATTTGTAAACTAAGTCTTTCTTAGAGAGAGAAATCAGAAACTTTTAAGCCCAATGGAGTCCCAGCTCCAGGTGCAGAGGCAAGTGATTTCCTGTGAGGGGAAGTAGTGGGTTTGTAGAACCATTGACTTAGAGAAACCGTGAGACTGGGACTCAGCGATTCAAAGAAGGCCTGACGTTTGGAAAATCAGCCAGCCTCTGGAATTCAGTTTCCTCCTTAGTAAAATGAGGACGTAGGAGAGTTTGTCAATGTCCACCAAAATCCCCAACAATGTGTGTAATTCTCCATAGAAAAAATTGCCTGGCCGTGAACTACATTTCCCAGCTTCCCTTGCAACTAGGTGAGCCTGCATGGCTAGCAATCACCAATGTTAGCAGACATTAAACAAGCAAGGGTATGAGTCTCCACTTTGCTCCCAGCCCCTTGCCCACAACCCCCAACTAGGACTTCGGTGTTCTAGGGGATGGCTGAACTACAGGCTGCAAAAACAAAACTAAACAAAAATAACAAAACTTGGGCTGAGATCCCCCAAGGGAACCAGAATACTCTTTCTAAACTGTTCAGCTGCAAAAAAGCATTCTCCTTCTCCTGCATTGAGCTACTGAATTGGTGGCTTTGTCACAAGAACAGATGTCAACCTAACATGGGCTTCATTATAGCCTTTTCCACATGGTTATGGGGAGAAAGAGGAGTAAATTCGTGCAAGCCACCTAGCACACAGGTTCCCTCACAGCCTCTCTCTCTCTGTCTCTCGTGTGTGTGTGTGTGTGTGTGTGTGTGTGTGTGTGTGTGTGTGTTGAGACAGGGCTTCTCTGTGTAAAAGCCCTGGCTGTCCTGGAACTTGCTCTGCAGTCCTCAGATACTGAGAAAGACCCACCTTTTCTCCCTCCCCAGAAGTAAAGGCATGAGCCACTATGCCCAGCTATTAAATAATAGTTTTAAGAGATTAAGCTTTGAGCCCGGTGTTGGTGACACATGCCTTTAGTCCCAGCACTCGGGAGGCAGAGGCAGGCAGATCTCTGTGAGTTTGAGGCCAGTCTGGTCTACAGAGCGAGTGCCAGGATAGGCTCCAAAGCTACATAGAGAAACCCTGTGTCGAAAAACAAAAGAGAGAGATTAAGCTTTGGTGCTGTCTACCACTCACTTCCCACTAAAATATAATGTCCCCCAGACCGGCAAGGAGATGGCTTTAAACAATACGTACGAAACACAGAACAGCAAAGAGGAGCAGTGGGGCAGCGGAGAGCATGAGCAGCCAGCGCCAGCCCAGGCTGGGCATCACGAACACAGCCAGGAGAACTTCGAACACTGTCCCGATGGCCCAGAAGACCTGGCACGGGAGAGTAAGAGTCAGTGGTGGGGTAGTGTGGCCCACGAAGTGTCAATGGTGGGGTACTGTGGATGACAGTGGAAGATCAGAACCCTCTCCTTTCCACATGGCACAATCTGCTGTGGTCCTTCCAGCACTGTGCACCACAGTGGAGGTGGAAAGGGCCAGTGTTCTGTGATACAGCTATGACAGTGAGCATTTCAAGGGACCTTGGTTTTGGGATATTTCCAATTTTTTCCTACCCATTCCAAGCTTGCACTGGTATTGAACATACTTGGCCTGTTCTGAAACTGTCAATGCTTTCTACCTCTGGAGCTTATTCTGTGAAACAAAACAGTCTCCATGGCAGTCACAACTCCCCCCTCCCCAACTCTCCCCAACCACCAGTCCCTGGAAGTCTGTTTTTGTTTTTCCCATGTCATTTTTTTGAGACAGGGTCTGGCTATGTAGCTCAGGCTGTACCTACTCCAAACACCCATGTAGCAGAATCATATGGTATTTGTCTTTTATGTCTGGATTTCTTCACCAAGCATAATGTCCTGGTGGCTCACCAATATTGTAGTATAGTGTCACAATTTCCTCCCTTTTCAAGGCTGGACACTATTCCATTGTATATGGACATACCACATCTTCCTTATGCATGTATCCACTGATGGACACTTGACGGCTTCCATTGTCTCTGATGTGGTTATACACATTGACACTCTCTGGTTTTTGTTTAATGACATTTATGTCCCTTGCCCCCACAGGCTCCAGTATCCTCCTTTGTTTATTATTTTTTTCCATGACAGGGTTTCTCTGTGGCTTTTAAGGGCTGTCCTGGAAGTAGCTCTTGTAGACCAGGCTGGTCTCGAACTCACAGAGATCCACCTGCCTCTGCCTCCCGAGTGCTGGGACTAAAGGCGTGCGCCACCAATGCCCCAGTATCCTCCTTTGGAATCATCTCTCCCTTACCTCACCAAGTCACTCTCCATCGTTTCTTATTTTTGAAAGGACTCCACCACCAGGCTTCCTGCCTGTGGCTTCCCACAGTGCACTGCTAATAGCGAGACTGGGGGACAGGAGGGAGAGCAGGGTGGAAGGGAAACTGGCTTGATTTACTGTCCTGGTCCCTCCCCTGCAGGATGGTCCCAGGCTGGCCCAGCTGAAGGTTTCTTTCGAGGGCTCCATCATCTCTGTTAGGTCAGGCAGCTCATTGCTGCCTCCTGGTCCTTCGGGACTGGGCTTGGTAACATATTTGTGGGCAGGCTTTATTACTATTATTATCTTTAAATCACAGTTATTTGTTTCTTTGCTTGTTTGTTGAGGGGGTGGTGAGTGGTTTGGAGGAGGCAGTTCTTGCTTTGGGTCCTGGGTTTCAGAACTCAGGTCATTGGGCTTGTTAACAGGTGCTTTACAAGCAATCTCTCGGACCCTATTGTTACAGTTATTACCTTAAGAACTGGGGACTAAAGCCAGAGTCTGGTGTGTGTGAGGCAAGCGCTCTACCAACTGAACTACAGCCCCAGCTCTCTTCTCAATTTTAATTTGGAGGCAGGGTCTCACTAAGTGACCCCAGACAGACCTTGACGTTATGATGCTCACCTCAGCCTCCTTGGTAGCTGGGATGATAAGCTTGGTTCACCAGGCTCAGCAGGGACTTCATAGGGACTTTCTAAGTCCTCCTCAGACTGATCTGTTGTTCCAGACCTGGCCTCTCCATCTGCAAGCCCATGCTAAAGCCTTCTCCACTAAGGTCCCCCAGAGCCTTCAGTTAAAGGAGCCACAATCCATCTCTGTTGCCAACCATCATGGGTGACCATTAAAATGTCTAACCACAGGTATGTTAAGGATGCCGGCCAGTTAGGATGGACATTAGGCATGCTACTCAACCAGGCATGAACTTAAAGGTTTTTTTCTGAGACAGGGTCTTGCTATGTGGTCCTGACTGGCCTGGAACTTGTATCTATCCTCCTGCCTCTACCTACTGAGTTTGGAGGTTTGGAGGCCACAGGTTTGAGTCACCACTCTCAGCTTTAGTTGCTAGATCTTGGGAAGCCTAAGGGAGAACCAAGAATGACTGGGATTACCCAGATTTTCATACATGCTGGCCCAGGCACAATTTGTCCTTGAAACAACTAGCAGGGAATAAGGTAAATGGCCTGTAATCCTAACATTAGGGAGGCAGATGAGATGCAGGAGGATTGCTGCAAGTCCAAGGTCAGTCTGAGTCACTTATCGGGTTCCAGGCTACCCCAGGCTTCATGGTGAAAGTTAGTCTCAAAACAAGAATGGAGATTCAGTGTTTACAGAGCTGATTACCCATGTCTGTGTCTGGCAGCTGAGAGCTGGCCACTCTGATGGATCAGAGGCAGCTGTTAGGAGGTGTAGGCCAGTGTACACAGTGATAGCTATGCTTGGTGTAATCCTGTGACCGAGAACTCAGCCCTGGGAGCACCGTCCCTGCAAGTTCTCAACCTGTGGGTCGCAACCCCTTGGAGGGGGACAATTGACCCTTTCACTAGTGTCACATATCAGATATTTACATTGTGATTCATAATAGTAGCAAAAATTACAGTTATGAAGTAGCAACGAAATAACTTTATGATGGGGGTTGCCACAATATGAGGAACTGTGTTAAAGGGTCACAGCATTAGGAAGGTTGAGAACCCCTGATCCAATTAAAGAAAGAAAAGCAGGGAGAAGGGGGAGGAAGAGAGAGGAGGGAGGAAAAAATACTTATACTGTATATTCATGTACATATTTGTCTATTAAGTTTATTATGTCTTTCTCTCTTTCTTTCTTTTTTGTTTTTTTTGAGACAGAGTTCCTCTGTGTAACAGTCCTGATTGTCCTGGAACTTGTGTTGTTGACCAGTCTGGCTTCGAACTCACTGAAATCTGCCTGTTCCTGCCTCCTGATGCTGGGATCAAAGGTGTGCACCACCTCTTAGCTTGTTATGTTTTTCTTAAACTCCCTTTTGCAGTCCTGTGGCTCCATACATCTGAGAACTGATTGCCAGTCAGCATTCCCTAGAGACCATCACCCCCTCCTTACCTCTATCAGCAAAATACACTTGGCTCTGGCCTTCATGGGAAGGAACTCAGCATACAGCGTCACCCTAGGCAAGCAAAGAGACAGGGGCTAAAACGGTGGGAAGATGGAAGATTCCGAGTTCCCCCAATAATGCCCAATAATGAACAACATCCTCCTATAACAGTCTGTGGATTCCTGAGTCTATTTCCTGGGATCATGGCTACAGTCAGGAAATCAATAGGTTCTTACTGTGGCTCAAGGCTACCTTCAAACTCGCCATCTGCCTGCCTTTCCCTCTTGAGTGCTAGGATTAAAGGCATGCGCTACCACAGTCCGGCTGGGACCTGCATTTTTAACCAACTTCCCAAATGATCCTACGATTCCATCATGCTTCCTTTGAGGTTGGCTGCGGAGTCTGGGAAAAGTCTAGTTGTGGGTTTATAGGCAGCTGTGTTAGCAGTTGCTATCCCTGTGTCATATTTGGCCTTTTGCCCTGGGGGACACCCTCATTCTGGGTTCCTGATGTCTGTCTGTGTCTGGTGACAACCACATGGATAATGCCAAGTCGCTCAGCAGTTGCATCCAGGGTGTTCGATGCCAGCCTGCTCCCTCATGGGTACCTTCATCTTCACAGAGGGGTGGAGTTGGTGTCTGACAGATTTCTCTCGCTCTAAGGTACCATTTTGACACTTGTGACTAGGACATAATTGAGATTTGTCAATATCTTGTTCTCCATAAAACTGGCTGTAGCTACTGGCTATTTTTTACCTGAAAGAACCATGGCTGCATTGGTCACAAATTGTAGTTTTAATTTGTCTTTCTTTCTGCATTTATAAATCACATCCTTATATAAGAAAGAGCTCTCCTGGGGCTGGCAAGATAGATGAGCGGATAAAGGAACCCGCTGAGAAGTCCAGTGATCCGAGTTTGATCCCTATAACTCCACAGGATAGAAAGAGAGCAGACTCTTACAAGGGGCCCTCTGAACTCCACTGTCTACTAAATCACCTGGACCTGTGGATTCTCCCAGCTGTCATTTACCTGAATGATACTCTGTGGATGCTCACAGCTCCCCCTACTGGACACAAAAGCTACTGTCTCACTCTCCCTCTGTTTTGCTTATCCTCACAAAAGGACACTTGAAGTTTTGTGAGATTTTTGTTCAGTTTTTGTGTGTATTTTATAACCCAAAATATCACTTGTGATTGATGATAAAGACAGATCACTGTTTAGCTCCCTTTTAAAAATTAGAATCCAAATCTTGGGGCTGGAGATTGCTTAGTGGTTAAGAGCTTGGAGGACTGAAGTCAGATTCCCAGCACCCCACGTAGTGGTTCACAACCACCTGCAACTCCAGGTCTAGGGAATCAGATGTTCTATTCTGGCCCCTCAGGCATTGCACACACATAGTTCACATACACACATAATGTACACAGGCAAAACTTGATACATATAAACCATTTTTTAATCCAATTTTCCCCTTTGATGCTGGAGTTTGAGCTCAGGGCCATGTGCAAGTTAGACAAGTGCTCTACCACTGGGCTGTATCCTAAGCCACCAAATCTAACATTTTTATAATTTAGAAAAAGAATTGTTTTTAGTGTGTGTGTGTGTGTGTGTGTGTGTGTGTGTGTGTGTGTGTGCGCGCGCGCGCGCGCGCCTTTTACACATATGCAGTGCCCTCACAGGCCAGAAGAGGGCGCTGGATCCTCTGGAGCTGGAATTAAAGTCATGAGCTATCTCCAACATGGCTGTTGAGAATTAAACTTGGGTCCCCCTCCAAGAGCAGTCAGTAAGCACTCTTAACCACTGGGCCATCTCTCTGTCCCAAACCAAACACTTTTATGCTTCCCCATAGACACGAAGGAAGATTACTCAGCATCTTACTGTGACTTCTCTATTCTGCTTTAAAAGGACAGGAACCTGCCAGGAGGGACAGCTCCACACCTCTGGCATCGTCCTCCCAGCAGGGCAGGTCCCAGAAACAGCACTTCTTCTCACTGTTTAAGTGCACAGCTCTGTGCAGTACTTGTTCCGCACAGATGCTGTCTGGCATCAGTCAGGTTCAAATTTGAACTCAGTTGCAACTGGCCTGGGAGAGCAGCCTGCAGAAGAAGCTCTTTGCTGTCCCTGCTGCTCTGTGGCTTGACTTCACTGCCTTTCACATCATGAGTTAATTTCAGGGTCGTGCAGCTCAGTCAGCAGCTGTAAGCCCTGGGTTTGATTCCTGGCACCGCTGGCTACAGACTTAGGCTGCAGACTTTGTGGTTTTGGCTTCCTGTCTTGGATCCCAGGTGGCTGTGCCTGGGTGGAGCCAGATGGATCCTTCTAGGTTCATCAGGTCATCTAATCCACCCCTTGACTGAAAATGTGAACAGTCTCTGCTGACACAGCAGAACTGCTCAACTGCAATACTGAGTTAAGTAAATCTGTGTTAAGTGCTAGGTGGTTTGTGACTAGCAACAGCTAACCCTCACCTTGACTTACAGAGCACCTGCTTTGATTAAGCCTCTGGTGAGCTGGGTTTTCTAATTAGTCAAATGGGGGTAGGGTTGGACTAAGGTTGTGTGAAGACACATAGCACAACTGTCCTGTGATACTCAGGTGCCATCTTTGTTGCCAACGAATGTTCTGTACTGAAGGGTTTTTGTTTTTCTTTCTGTCTGTCTTTTTTTGTTTTGTTTTATTTTGTTTTTTGAGGCAGGGTTTCTCTGTGGCTTTGGAGGCTGTCCTGAAACTAGATCTTGTAGACCAGGCTGGTCTCGAAATCACAGAGATCCGCCTGCCTCTGCCTCCTGAGTGCTGGTATTAAAGGCGTGCACCACCACCACCAGGTCTGTACTGTAGCTCTTATTGACAATGTAAATGTGTGTTTGGGTAGGCAGAAATGAAGTAGGGCAGAAGCAGAGAAGAGGGCTCCTTACAAGAGATTTGCCTTCACATTGTTGTGGTTTGGGTGTCTGGCACACGTGCCTGGGGGTTCATGTGTTGACGCTTCATCCTCAGCCTGCTAAACTTGATCCAGTTGTGATGTCTGGGGGTGGGGACTCAGGGCTGGGAGAGGTGATCAGGGTTAGACAATATCCTTAGGGTCAGTCCCAAGATTGAATTCTGGCCTTTTATGGGAGGGAGGGCAGGGGGCAAAGGAGTCTTGCTAACCTGGAACTCACTATGTAGCCCAGACTGACCTCAAACCCATGGTAATCCTCCTCGTCCTTCCCCCAGCACTGGGATTACAGGAGAAAGCCACCATGGTCATCTTGGATCTTGGAGATTTGGTAAGGAGATCTGATGACATGCGTGTGTCTTCTGTCTCTTGCCAGGTTATGTCCAAGGCAGCTCAGTAGCTGTCAGCAAGGCAGCCAGCCACTAGTGGATGCAGCCCCTAGACTTGAGCCAGGACTATGAGCTGAGATAACCCCCCATATTTATTTATTTATTATTTATTTTTGGTTTTTCGAGACAGGGTTTCTCTGTGGCTTTGAAGGCTGTCCTGGAACTAGCTCTTGTAGACCAGGCTGGTCTTGAACTCACAGAGATCCTCTGCCTCTGCCTCCTGAGTGCTGGGATTAAAGGCATGTGCCACCAACGCCCGGCTCTCTCCCCATCTTTATAACCTACCCCACCTGTGGCATTGTGTTCTCGAAACAGCAATGTTTGAGTTGCTGTTGACTTATCTTAAAATTTTACCCCAAGATGTCATTCTTGTGACTTTCTGAGGAACCCTGGCTGGGCAAAGTCACTCTATACCTATGGAAACTTTTAATATTCCCTAACTACCTAAAAATATTGTCACCTAAATGTTTCCCAACACAGCACTTAGGGGAGCTATCTTTGTAACTCGATAAGAGCGCTGGCTAATTACGACATAATTAGGTTTATGTAAAATGACTACATCTGAAGTGCTAAGGAGCCAGAGCCCTCTCGGGTAGCTTCGGAATTCTCTAATTTTGCTTGTAGTTTTATTTGTCTTCTTCACAGATAAGACAGCTATTTAGTTGCATAAGTGAGCAAGCAAGTTGTAGCAAATCTCAGGTCATCCATTAGCTAGCTGTGGGACTTGGGGCACACATGTCCCTTTTATTTATTTATTTATTTATTTATTTGTTTGTTTATTTATTTATTTGTCATATGTGCATGGAGCTTTGGTGGCTTTGCTAAGTGCTTTGGTGGGACAAGATGTTTATAAAACAGGAAAGGCTTTGGGAGATCTCAGTGATTTAGACCACAATGTAGAGAGTGTCCGTAAAAGAGAACACCCTAAGAGACTATTTTTTAAGAAATGGTAAAAACAGAGAAGGAAGTCTGTCTGAGTTGTTCAAAGACAAATGAAGCAAGGTTGGTGTTGAGCTGGAGTCCCTAAGGAGAAAACCGTGTGCTAAGGGCCTTCAGAAAGGTGTTAAAGCCTGAGGAACAGTTGGTGGAAGACATTCGTGACAGAACAGTACAGGTGAAGATGACCAAGCCTGATGCAGGGTGGGTAATTATCCCCCCAGACTAGAAGGACATGTTTCCTTCCTGAAAAAGGTTACACTAGGGGTAACCTGAGCCAGGACAGTTCCTCCAGCCACTAGGGGGCGCTGCTGTGTTGCCAATAGCTCACGTGCAGGACTCTCCGGAGCTGGGCCACAATGGAGCCACTAGCTGTTGTCAGCCCAGATTTATGATTGTGTCTGTTAATGACCTCTGGTTAGAGCTCCAGTGGTTTTTAATTCATAAATAGTGTGAAACCGTGTTTTTCCATTCCAGGAAAGCATTGCAGGATGCCAGCTCTACACAGCCTCAGATGAAGCCATCTGGAAGACCTGGGGAAGGAGTGGACAGGACTCACTGACCTTCCACAAGGCAGGAGGCTAAACATGAGAGTTAGATCCATGTGGTCCATCTCTCCTTCACACAGACTTTGTCATCCACCCCCAACCCAGCATGTGACTTCCTTATCAATGCCTTGGGAAACTGGATGCTTGCCAAGCTCTGACTTAATAGAAAAGGCTTGTTGGTTTGTTTTGAAGCCTGGTATCAAGAATCCCAAGCTGGCCTTGGAATTATTACTTAACCGAGGATGACTTTGAGCTTACCATCCTCCTGCCTCCAGCTCTCCAGTTCTCGGATCACAGGTATGAGGGACCACACTCAGTTTACAGTGCCGGGGATCAAACTGAGGGCTTGCTGGGCAAACCTGAAGATGATCATGTCTCTCACAGCATTTAGCAGAGCCTATGGAATGGCCCAGGAGAATATTTGGTAGGAAGGGAGTACTCTCCCAGGCATCGTTCTGGGTACTTTGTATGTATTATCAGAATGCTGTCAGGGACCCATCAAGTGGGCGGGTGCGGGTAAAACCAACGTATAGAGAGGGCCAGTGACATGTCTGAGATCACAGCACTGAGCCAGGGTTCACACCCAGGTCTTCTGGTTTGCAGAGCCTTCGATTCAACCACACTGACTCAGGATGAAGCTCCCCTTTCTAGAGATCATGTCTCCAGAGTGTCCCAAAGGAGGCCCAGCAGGCAGTTTATGACTGTAGAGTCCCTGGGCTGTATGTATCACATGCTGTGGCACCCCTGGCACTGATGGCCTGAGCAGTGGCTAGACACTGGCTTGCACATGGTGCTCTTTAAGAACGAAGTATGCACAGGTGCCTTTTAAACCAGAAGTCGTTGAATGACTGCATTCCCATTAGAAAGAACAACTAGAAGTCAAGGGGTTAACGTAGGAGTGGTCTCTGTTGCTATCATGGAGTCTATGGGGTGGATTTGTGTGGACTTCACCTCAGTATCTTCCAGAGGTCTTGGCTCTCATAGAGAGAAAGCTTTCATACCTGCACAGTTCAAGGATCCCATAAGACATTTTTGTTGTTGTTGTTCTTACTGTTTTGTTAGTTTGCATTTATTTTTTGAGACAGCATCTCATTCTTTAGCCCTGGCAAGCCTAGAACTTACTATGTAGACCAGGCTGAACTCAAACTCATAGAGCTGCCTCTGCCTCTGCCTCTGCCTCTGCCTCTGCCTCTGCCCCTGCCCCTGTCCCTGCCCCTGCCCCTGCCCCTGCCCCTGCCTCCTAAGTGCTGGCATGAAAGGCATGTGTCACCACATTTGAAGTCCCACAAGACTGTAAGTTAACAGCTGCCACCTAGTAACTTTGAGCTCCACATTTTAAGAGAAGAAGAAGCAAACACAGGAGCCACTATTTGCCAGTGAGAGTAACTGACCCCAAAAGTTAGGACCAGCTAGGACCATCATAATGCAATTGGGTCACCCTCGTGATGCTATGGATGTCTGTAAAGAGCATGGTGGCCAGGGATGGAACCCCTCCGCCGTGACGTCTGGTCACCCACCTGATGGACCAGTTACATCAGCAATCGATAATGCCAAAGGTTTGGGGATTTTAGACTAGGAGACAGGAGGGAAAGGGAATCGGCACCCAAGGCAGTCCTGAGATCAGCAGCAGTAGCGGGGCCTGTGTTCTATCCCTCTAGCTGTCCTTGGGAAAGTCTACAGGGAGAGACTGACTGAGTCCGGGAGGGACTCTTCTCGGATGGGTGCAGTCTCACCAGGATGCATGGCCCTCTGAGGAGTACAAGGGGCAGACTGCAGTGGCTGGTACACTGTGCCCCTGGATTAGTTCAGGCTCAGCCACTGAACCAGGGGCTTGCTCCCCCTGCACCAGGCAGGAACATTACCTGCAAGAGTTCATAGCTGGACCCTGTACAGGCTTTGCCTTGGCCCAAAGGTTGTAGCCTAAAGGTTTGGAACAAAGAATATCACCTTTTCCAAGTCTCAGTGTCCTCCCCTGAAAAATGGAGCTTATGTGATCCGTCAGCACACACACCCCTGCTGGCACCCACGGTGTGCAGATATTAAACGAACTATCAAAGTTAGGTCTGTTTTGTTATGGCTTTGCTTTTAAGGCCGTTGGACACTGTGCTGATGCTGTTGTTAGCTGAAGGATACTGATGCTAGCTAGCACTGCCTGTCCTGCGATGGCTCCAGGTTCTAGAAGCCCTGCACAGCCATTCCCACAGTCCAAGGCAATGAAGGCACACAGCCATCTCCAGGACACTGGGACTTAAACCTGGGGCTGTTCAACTCCCTCCTGTGAGATGATGTACTATTTGACAGATAGATGTACTCACACCCCTGTATGCTATAAACCATCACTAGATGGCTGGTAGCACAGAACATAGTACAAATGCTATCCACACGGTCAACCATTATATATATCCTTTAGTGACTAATGTCAGGGAGGATTCTTGACATGTTCATTTCTTCCCTCGGTATTTTTAAATCCAAGGTGGCTGAACCCATGCATACAGAAGGTGGTTAGGCCAGATCTGGGTATTTACTTACGACTGGGGCACCCCTCCGATCCCAAAGCCCACCAAGCCTCGGAGCACCAGGATCCAACTATATACAGGCGCAAAAGCACTGAGGACGCCATAGTACAGGGTCCAGAGCACGCTGATCTTCAGCCCCTGTGGAGAAGGAGACAAGAAGTCACAAGAGCCTTGGGCACCTCCGGGTATGCCTATAACCAGATAAAGCCACCAGTCAAGGATGGGTGGGTGTGGCCCAGCTACAGCATCTGCCCTTGGTTCCATCCCTGGCATTGCTTTTTTTTTTTTTTTTTAATGAAAAAGTTACCAACAGGGGCTGGAGTTAGGAGTGCTGGCTGCTCTTCTGGGGGACCTGAGTTCAATTCTCAGCACCCACATGATAACTCCACTGTCTGTAGTAACTACAGTTCCAGGGGATCGGATACCCTCTTCTGGCCTCCCCGGGCACAGCAGGCACATGACACACAGCCACACATGCAGGTAAAATACCCATTCATATAAAATAAAAATAAACAAAATCTCAAAAGATTTTAAGTTATCAATAGTCTCACCCTACAAGCAGCCCAAAAGGCAGGGGACATCGTGTGTGCTCTGTGTGCTATTACCACTAGGACATCCTGGTTGTCACTTGATTACTATTCAGTGCCAGTCAGGCTCCAGAGGGTCAGCACAAGGCACACATGGTTCTGTGTCTGACTCCATTGCCAACAACCTCATCATTGACACAGAAAAATGCTTATGCTTCTTCCTAGACCTTTGCTCTTCTTTACTTCACAGGATGAGGGGACACAGAGCAAATGTACTTGGACCAAAGCTAATTGGGGACCTTCCACAGACTGAAAACTCCCAAACTGTGAGCCAAACAAACCTTTGTCTTTATAAGCTGGTACTTGTTATAGCAGAAGATAGCCAACTAACAGTGCGACTAATATTATTTGTGAATTTTAAATAAAGGGAACATGATGTTCATTAGGGTTTAGAATTGGACAGAGACACCATGATAAATATGGCAAAATTTAAGAAAGTGTTAATTTTAATTACTCTTAGAGATGGAGAAACAAATTCAGGATAAATGTTATTTAAGGGATGCCGGACACTGACAGCTATCATTCATTCACTTATTTATTTGATGTATACATATGTTGAACACTTGCTATGTGCCTAGCATAACACTACTGATACATACATATATGTATACATATGTAATTTATTCATCTTTTTCTTCAATATGCATATATTGAACACCTGCTGAGTACTTAGCCACAGGACTACTGGAATATATGGTCCGTTTGGGAATATACCATCTGTCCGTCTGTCTGTCCATTCATCCATCCATCCATCCACATGGCATGTATGTACTGAGTGTTTGCTGCTTGCTTGGCACTGAACTGCAGGAAGGGACCTGACAGTTGAGTCTCTGACTTCGCAGGACTCTTGTCTGCATTTTATAAACTGCACTTTCACAATTATGTGGGATCACTGTAGCACACCTCCAGGGAGAAGGTTTTCTCATTTCTGTTATATGAATTATCTCAGCAGAGTAGAAGAGTGATTTGCTCAAAATCAGCACATGGCAGGGCCAAACCTGCAGCCAAAGCTTCCAACACCTGACACTTGAGCTCCCTTCCACCAGGGCCTTTGGTAGCTCCCATTAACCTCCAACAGACTGTGAATTCCTTGAGATATGGCAGGGACAGGTGGGGCATCAGCGAGAGAACTCCACTCTGGCCAAAAGTCACCATGACAGATCGAGGGTCTTGGTCACTCAGTATCTTTTTAAAAATGGAGGCAACTAATTGAAAACCCCATAAAACCCTATGAGGGATAAATAAAATAGGGGGCTGGGGTGTAGCTCAGGGTTAGAATGCATGATTAGCATGCAGCAGGCCCTGGGATCAACCCCCAGCACTAAAATCTGGAACACATGGGTGCGTGTCTGTCTCTGGGTTACAACCTGTAGCCCAGAAAGCCTGGGATGCATTCCTGGATTACACTGACTGGGTGACCTGGTTACACTACCAATGCTCAGAACTGTAGTAATTACAATGAGAACATTCTAACACGCATCGGCAGACACCTATGCATATCACACATTCTTCATTTTGTTTTTTGAGATAGTCTCATATGGCCCAAACTAGCCTTGGACTCACTGTGTACCAGGGATGACATCGTTCTGCTGAATCTCCCGCTCCTCCCAAGTACTGGGATTACAGGCATGTACCACCCACACCCAGTTTTATTCGCTGATGAGATGGAACATAGCCTTGTGTGTATTGGGCACTCTGCCCATTGAACTGCACCCTAGCCCTACATACATTTTATGGTTGGACTCTTAGTGCTCTTCTTTTTTTGTGTGTGTGTGTGCAGGGAAACTAAAGCTCAGAGAGGTGAAGCAACTTGCCTTGCTCCACAGTGGTAGAAGACGGGGTGGGGAGTAGGGACATAGCTTCCATTGCCCCCACCATTCCATGGCCAACATAAGTCCCCAGGCATTAGGAACTGCCATCTGAACCAGGAGTTTCACTGAACCCTAATGCAGACACCTATGTGGACTTGGAAACCTGTCACCTGTACCAAGACAGTAAGAAGCCCCTCTGAGAGCTGGGTGTTGGTGGCACACACCTTTAATCCCAGCACTCAGGAGGCGGAGGCAGGTGGATCTCTGTGAGTTCGAGGCCAGCCTGGTCTACACAGTGAATTCCAGGACAGCTAAGGCTGTTACACAGAGAAACCCTGTCTTGAAAAACCAAAAAACCAAACAAACAAAAAAGAAGCTCCTCTGTGTTTGATGGGGCTGGTAGGTTGCTGGTATGCCCAGGCCCCTAGAGAAACCCAGAGGAGGCTTCCTAATTACAGCCCACTCCTTGCTTCTTGAGTTGCACAAAAACGCCATCATGGGAGGAGAAGCCATTAGGGGCCACTTCCCCTTCCTCTCTGGTCAAACCAGCTGCCTGTTGGGTGTGAAACTTAGGTAGCCTGGGAGCAGAGGCAACCCTCCATGCAGCTTATTTATTTGGGACTAACCTCTTTGGGGAGAACCCAGGTCTGCCAGCAGCCAAAGTCAGGGTGAAGAATGTGGAATTTGGAGGCAAGCACCAGGGTGTAAATGCTGGCTGCTATGAATGGGGACAAGCGTGGCATGCAGCAAGAGTAGTAATAGCCATTTATGAAATGATTTATCGGGGCTGGAGAGGTGACTCAGAGGTTAAGAGCACCGACTGCTCTTCCAGAGGTCCTGAATTCAATTCCCAGCAACCATATGGTGGCTCACAACCATCCGTTATGAGATCTGGTGCCCTCTTCTGATGTGCAGATATACATGGAAGCAGAATGTTGTATACATAATAAATAAATAAAATCTTTTTTTAAAAAGAAATGATTTATCTGTGCCAAGACCTCGTGTGAAAGGCCCTTCACTCTTTGAAATCACCCCATGGAGTGTCTGAGCCATCTCATGTATGCATGAGGACACAAGGCTCCAGGAGTCTGTATGGGAAGCAACTGAGACCTGACCCCAAGCAGCCTGGCTCAGCATATGCTTTCCACAGAAAGATGTTCCCTTTTTGTTTGCCAAAATGAACCAACTACGTGGGTATTGGATAAAGTGTTAGTGGTCTCAGGTGATGGAGAAAGGGGGCATGGAATTAACTCTGCAAGTGACAGCAATGTCAGAAGGCCTGGCACTTTCTCTCCAGACCAGGTCCCTCAGTACCCTGTGCACTGTGGGGGACAGGAGGGATGGATTCCTGGCTTCTACATATGAGATGCCATTATCAACTCTTCCCTTAGCTGTGGCAACCTAGTCTGTCCCACACATTGTCAAATGTTCCCCTCCCCTGCATTGAGGAGCAGTGTTCTAGAAGGTACAAAAATGGGGTTATAATTTACAAGATTTGGTAAGCATCATTATTGGAACCCCTTTTATGCATTTTTAAAATCCAAACTCTTTGGTCAGTGAGATGGCCCAGTGGGTAAAAAGTTCATGCCACCAATCCTGACCACAAGGGTTCCATCCTTGCCACTCACATGTGAAAGGAGAGAGCAGGCTACCTAAAATTATCTTCTGACCTCTATGGGACAGGAGGCTGCACACACACACACACACACACACACACACACACACACACACACACACACACACAAATAAGTAAATGTAAAAACAATAAGATAAAGTTGAGACCCAAACTCATAACCTTCTTCTCTCTGTTCTACCAGGCTGGCTGCCTCTTGACACACGGACATGAATCACTGGCCCCAGGGGCAGAATATTTACTCTTCCAAGAGAAGCCAATTGAAGATTGTTGTGAACTTTTAGGTAAATAAAAAGCAGCTGTGTGCTGTGGGATAATCCTTTTGAGCACTGTGAAAATGTGTTGCTCTCACTGGTATAATAAAAAGCTAACTGACCGATAGCTAGGCAGGAAGAGGTTAGGTGGGAGAGCCAGACTGAGAGAACACTGGGAAGGAGGAGGGCAGAGTTGTCAGGATGCAAAATGAACTTGCTGTGCTGAAAAAAGGTACCACCACATGATAGAACGGAGATGAGAAATAAAGGTTAATTTAAGATGTAAGAGCTAGTTAGTAACAAGCCTAAACTAACAGCCGAGCATTTATAATTAATAATAAGTTTCTGTGTGGTTTGGGAGCTGTGTTGGGAACCAAAAATTATCGATTATAAAGTTTCTCGGGGTCCAACCCTCTGCTCCTAGCTCCTATTTCCAGGAGCCTGAATCTCCATTGTCTTGCAGATGCAGGCTAAACTGCGGCTGAATGGCTTGGCTTCAGTGGAGAATGTATCCTAGTTTGCCTTACAGTAGACCTAGGCCCTAAGTGTGCCATACCTGTGCGGGAGCTTTGCATGCCTAGGGACTGTTTGGGTGTGCCTCTAGGGTTAAAATAATTACATGATGTCAGCTTTATACAGGAGAGTAGATGCCTTCTGCGTTCACCCCCACTGTTGAAAAGATACTTAGGAGGTTCTAGAATAAACCAGAGACTCCAGTTTCCAGCATGCACTGAGAGCCCTCCAGAAATGACAAGAGGCCTGTGTCTGGTTTTTATCACCGTTGAGTAGCTAGGAGTTTCCAGGTCCACGCACCCCCACTCAAGGATGGACCCGAGGCTGTTTGTATGGCTCCAATTACAGCCCCCAAGGACATCAGTCCGGAATATATAGCCTCTGTAGCGTGGGACTGGTACAAGTGGGGCTCTGGCAGAGCTGCCTGGTGGGACAGAAACTTCTGCCTATAGCTGTGGGCCAGAGAGATGGCTCAGCAGGTTAAGAGCTTGCCTTGTGGGTAGTCCGAATGATAATGGCAGCCAAAGGCTCATATATTTGAATGTTTGGTATGTAGCTGGTAGAACTGTTTAGGAAGGATTAGGAGGCACAGCTTTGGAGGAGGTATGTCACTGCACGTGGGCATTGAGATTTCAAAAGCCTGTGCCATTTCCAGTTAGCTCTCTTGCTTGTGGATCAGATGTGAGCTCTCAGTTACTGCTCCAGCACCCTTTTCAGCCCAGGAGACTGTGCAGCCACATTCTTGCCACCCTTGCTAAAGCATCAGAGATGGTCCCATGATGTCTGGACCACAGAGTGCAAGCATTTACATTTAGAAGAGGAAGGAGCCTTACTGTTTTCCTGCCGTACTGATCTGAGATGTTTCCCCAGAGCGTGGAACTGGACATCATGCCGATGAACACCACCTATGGGCAGACAGACGACAGTTCCTATTAGCAGCACCAAGTGAAAGGTTTATGTTTTTGTTTAAATTATATATAAAGAAAAAGAGGAGGAGGCGCAAGATGAGACATATTAACTAGTTTATTATAGGCACGAAAGAGCAGGGAGACTAAGAGAGAAGAGGAACAGGGGTAATGGCTGACTCTCATGGCCGGTCGCCATAGAGAGGCAGAGAGAGCGCATAGGTGGGAGAAGAGAAGGAGAAGCAGAGAGAGAGTGAAGCAGGAAAGTTGGAACTTTTAAAGGGAAGACTGCGCATGTGCACTGAGGTTCCACACATGCCCAGAGTCCTCACGCGTGCGTGGTGGGTGATGTGGTGATGGCATGTCCCTGTGCGTGCCCTGACTGTTGTCAGGGGACAGGGTCTGTCTCTTAAAGAGGTAGAGCCAATTTCAGCATTAAAGCCTGAACTTTTCAAAAGGGAACAGCAACTAGACACACACACACACACACACACACACACACACACACACACACACACACACACAGCACTACACTGCAAATAAACCTGTCACTGAGACACACTTCCTTTTGCTTTTTGACACAGGGTCTGTCTATATAGTTCAGGCTGGTTTCAAATTCTCCATCCTCCTGCCTCAGCCTCCTGAGAGCTAGAGTTACAGATGGGTACCACAACACCCACCTTTAGGCAGGTCTCCCCACAGTCACATTGTGGGTGTGTGCCCTTGTTACCCCCATTCCTTAGAGGAGGATGCTGAGGTTCAGTAAAAGGAAGTCCCATGAGGGCTCCCACAGCTGTTAAGTATGTAAGTACATGTCTTGGGATGTAGACCAGGCTGCCTCTGAAATCCCAGAGATCCTTCTGCCTCTGCCTTTGTCTCCTGAGTGCTGGGAGTAAAAGTGTTTGCCAAAATATCTGGATTTTTGCTGTTGTTGCTGTTATAGGCTCTGCCTATATAGCCCCAACTGGTCTTGAACTTGCAACCCCCTGGTCACAGTTTTCAGGTGTGCAGCACTGTGCATAGCTTCTCTGTCATAATCCTTCTTACCCCTTCCTTGTCCCTCCCCATCCTCCTCTTCTTCTCTTCTTCCCCCCTCCCCCTCCTACCCCCTTCTCTTCCTCTTTTTCTTTTTCTTTTCTTTCTTTCTTCTTTCTTTCTTTCTTTCTTTCTTGCTTTCTTGCTTTCTTGCTTTCTTGCTTTCTTGCTTTCTTGCTTTCTTGCTTTCTTGCTTTCTTGCTTTCTTGCTTTCTTGCTTTCTTGCTTTCTTTCTCTTTTGGTTTTTCGAGACAGGGTTTCTCTGTGTAGCTTTTTGTAGACCAGGCTGGCCTCAAACTCACAGAGATCCACCTGTCTTTGCCTCCCAAGTGCTGGGATTAAAGGCATGTGCCACCACCGACCAGTCCTCCTTTTTTCTATACAAGTCTTCCTACTGACTTCTCTCATCCCTAGTTTTCTTCTCCACAAAAAAGTGTGCAAAACCCTCTGCACAGGGTCTGGCCCATCAAGGGCCTTCTAAGTCTAGGTTATGAGCCCAAACCTCACGAGAGAGACCAGCAAGCCTGTTACTCCCCAGGGAGAGTGCAGGGAAGGGGGGAGGCTCTCACTTACTCATCCCCCAACCCCTCACATTTTTTACTCAAGATTGTGCCAAAACCACAAAAATGTAGGAGTGTGCTCTGTACCTGACTCCCACTGGGCTGTGATGTCATGGCTAAATTAGTTTTATCTGAGATAGCACCCCAAACACTCAGATAAAACTGCAATAATGACCAAACCCAAAGCATCCTGGTGTCTGTCACAAATTAAGCACTGCTCTTGGCCACAGCTGGGCTGTGCAACCTGGAATGAGCAGCTTAGTCTATCTGTGCCTCTCTTCCCTTCCACCTTGCAGAATTGAGAGGGTTAAAGGGCACCGTGGAAGCTCCAAATTGTCATTAGTGTTGATTGCCAACTTGACAGGGCCTCGAGTCACCTAGCAGACGAACCTGTAGGCATGACTGTGAAAGAGTTCTTGGTGGGGCCGACTGAGGTGGAAGAGCCATCCTAAATGCAGATGGCACCATCCCACGAGCCAGACTGAGTAAAAAGGAGGGAGACATGGGGACCAGCAACCATCTCTCTCTGTTTCCTGACCCAGAACACCATGTGACCAGCTGCCCCAGACTCCTTCACGACAGACTGTGTCTCCTCAGACCATCTGCCAAGTCAACCCTGGTTCCCTTGAGTTGCCTCTTGTCAGGGATTCGGTCAGAGCAGTGAGACTCATAGCTAAGACAGATGTACACTGCATTCAACATGGCTCCCGCCCTTTGAACATTAAGCTCCCCAGGAGCATTAGCCATTGTGATTATGGTTGCTGCCCTCTCTCCTGGCCCTTACCGTTTGTCCGAATCCCCAGAACAAAAATGGATTGTTCTGCCTCATTCACCTTCAGAGCTTCTTTCTAGAGAGCATAACACCTCCCACTCAATGAACGTGTACTACCTGCCAGGGGCCTCACATTTCCAATCCTCACATCACCCTCCTGGGAGGGAGGATGGCATTTCCTGTCTGCAGCTGGAGAGGTGAGACGCTCCTCCTGTGTGTACATGAACATCTGGTGGGTTCCAGATTTTATGAGGTCCACAAGGAGCTAGAGCCCTGGATGGGTAGAGTTGGCTGCCAACTTGCTGGGACCAGTCACAGAGGAAGAGGGGATGGGGTGGGTTGGGGAACTAATTGGAGCTGACACCAGTGGTTCCATCCAGGACTACTGTGCTCGGCTAGTTTTATGTCAACTTGACACAAGCTACAGTCGTTTCAGAAGAAGGAACCTCAGTCGAGAAAATTCCCCCACCAGATTGGCCCGTGGGCAAGCCTGTGGTATATTTTCCTGATTGATGGTTCATGCGGTAGGTCCAGGCTCACCATGGATGATCTTTGCCAGGTGGTCCTAGGTGCTATAAAAAGGTAAACAGAGGGGCTGGAGAGATGGCTCAGAGGTTAAGAGCACTGACTGCTCTTCCAGAGGACCCAAGTTCAATTCCCAGCAACCACATGGTGGTTCACAACCATCTGTAATGAGATCTGGTGTGCAAGCATGCATGCAGATAACTGTATACATAATAAATAAATAAAGTTAAAAAAAAGGTAAACCAAGCAAGAGTAGGCTGCGATTCTCCACGGCCTCTACTTCATCTCCCGCCTCCAGGTTCTCTCCCTGACTTCCCTCAGTGATGCACTGTGATGTGGAGCTGTAACCTGAAATAAGCCCTCTCCTCCCCAAGTTGCTTTAGGTCACGGTGTTCATTCCAGCAAGAGAAAGCAAAGTAGGACAGCTTGGCTCTTCTCTGCAGAGCCCAGGCAGCAGGAGAAGGACAACACCCCACAGGACACCAGGGGAATCTGCGAGCTTCAGGACTACCTACCGAAGTCAGCAGTGCCACCTGCCAGCTGGGGAGTCGCCACTCACAGTGCAGCTGAGGTGCCAGGATACTGAGGATCATCATTTCCATGGCATCTGCCATCTGTGGGAGGAAGGGATACTGTGAGGCCGAGGCACATCCTGCCCTGGCCTCAGAGACTGCAGCCAACCCTCTGCCTCCTCCTGTTGGCATCTGCACAGACATCCCATGGGAAAGCCTATGGGATTGAACCAGTGAGCTGCTACACAGGGACCCAGATGACAGCTGATGTGCTTGGTGTGTTTCCCCACACTGTGTTTGTCTGCTTGCTTTAAAATTTTATTTTAAAATTTTGTATTTATTTCTCTCTCTCTCTTTTTTTCTTTCTTTCTTTTCTTTTTGTAGACCAGGCTGGCCTCGAACTCACAGAGATCCACCTGCTTCTGTCTTCCAAGGGCTGGGATTAAAGGCATGCGCCACCTCCTTGTATTTATTTCTCTATGTGCATGGGTGTTTTGCCTGCAAGTATGTCTGTGTACCATGTGCATGTAGTGCTCTTGGAGGTCAGAAAAGGCAGTTGTGAGCCACCATGTGGGCACTGGGAATTGTGGAAACTGAACCTGGATCCTCCAGATGAGCAACCAGTGCTCTTGACTGCTGAGTCATCTCTCCAGTCACTCTTTAAAATTACATTATTTGTTTGTTTGTTTGTTTGTTTGTTTGTGCGTGCGTGTGTGCGTGCGTGCGTGCGTGTGTGTGTGTGTGTGTGTGTGTGTGTGTATGTGTGTGTGTGTGTGTACACCATCTCACAGGCCCCATTATGTGTTTTAAGTTTTTGCTTATTTGTGAGACAGGGTCTTATTATGTAGCCCAGATTGGCCCAAACCAGCAATCTTTCAGCCTCCACCTCCCACACACTGGGATTACAGAAATGTACCACCATGGACAGCATCATTTCCTCATATTTTTAAAAACACAGGTTCTTGGGTCAATGAGATAGCTCAATGGGGAAAAGCACTGGCTGCAAAGCCTGAGGCCATGAATTTTATCCCCAGGATCTACACACTAGAAGGAATGAACCAACTCTGTCCCTGCCAGTTGTCTCCTGACCACCACATACATGTTCACCATGGTACACACACTCACACATTCACACACACTCACAGCCACACACTCACACCGTCACAACACTTTCTCACACACATAGTCACACACACTCAGACATACATACACTCATAGTCACACACACTCAGTCACACTCATGCAGTCACACACACACACACAGTCACACACACTCAGACACACATACACTCATAGTCACACACACTCAAAGTCACACTCATGCAGTCACACACACACACACAGTCACACACACTCAGACACACATACACTCATAGTCACACACACTCAGTCACACTCATGCAGTCACACACACACACACAGTCACACACACTCAGACACACATACACTCATAGTCACACACATTCTCACAGCCACACATACTCATAATCACACACTCTCAGACACACACACACACACACACACACACACACACACACACACACACACACACACGAAATACAGGTGCTCCCCGGATGAAGTGAGAAAGTGTCACATATCTAAAAGCTGAGCACACATTCTCAAGGAGGAAGCAGACAGACAGACAGTGTAGTCTTTTCAGTGCAATCACTCCTTTGTCTTTGGTTGGTCATGTTTTTGTGAAGAATTGTCTGCTTGTTTAATGAACATAGTGTTTGCATATATTAGCATATATTAAGAAGCCCTAGTTACTAAACATCTTGATTCTACTTTACAACTAAACAGAATATTAGAAAGTTAAAAGCAGATCCACACACAGGCCATGGGAGTATGGGGGACAGCAAAGGCAGACGCACACAGGCCACAGGAGGGTGGGCACACTACAGGTCTGTTTCTAGTTAGTGAGAGAACTGGCAGAGAAACTGATGGTCTGTTTTGACACACATGTGTTTGGGTCAATTCTCACATCATGCTCAGAGAGGCCTTGCAGATGGATTAAAGATCCAGTGTTGTGACTCTGGGATTCTTAGCAAGCAGTTGTGAACACCTTGAATCAGAATTCATTCTTTATTTTATTTTACTTTTGGCCATGCTGGGGGGTGGAGCCCAGTGTCTTGCACACAGCTAGGCAAACACCTGAACTATACTCCTAGCCCAGATAGCAAATGTCTTCTATGAAGTCTGTTTTCCTGGGTAGGGATTTGACCCAACACCATCACCTCACAGTAGCCCTGAGTCCCCAGGGGCAGGGATCCACCTCTGTAGCTGGATGCTTCCTGAGGGTGATGGCCAACCATGTTCAACTTCCTCCCAGCATGCACCTGGGCCATTACTATATATGAGCTTTGAGGATTAGCATTCAGGCAGAAGCTATGTGCAGAGAGAACTGTGCTATGCCTATGGCCATGGTACCCAGCTGAGCTTCGGGGGATTCTTGGGGTGTCGATGAGGTGCTGTGCCCAGAGACTTACCCACGCCAAGCCAGTGAGAACAGAGAGCTTCCACTGAAATCTTCCAAACCCAATGGCTTCCACCGCATCTTCCACCATGAAAGTGTCTAGGGAGGAAAAGGGGGAGAAGAGGAGGGATCACTACATCTTGTATTTGTCTAATATGGCACCTGGGGTGGTCCCCAGACAGGCTAATTAACTGTAGCATGTGCTGCTATAAGAACTAATATCATAGGGCTGGAGAGCTGGCTCAGAGGTTAAGAGCACTGGCTGCTCTTCCAGAGGTCCTCAGTTCAATTCCCAGCACCCATATGGTGGCTCACAGCCATCTGTAATGACATCTGGCTCCCTCTTCTGGCCTGCAGGCATACATGCATGCAGAACAAGGTATACAAAATAAATAAATCTTCTTTAAAAAAGAAAAAAGAACTAACAACATAGCCATCATCATCATCATCATCACTGCAGAGGTTTGAAAGAAAATGTCCCCCATAGGTCCATAGGGAGTGGCACTATTAGATATAGCCTTGATGGAGTAGGCGTGGCCCTGTTGGAGGGAGTATGTCACTGTAGAGGTGGGCTTCAAGGTCTCCTATTCTCAAGCTACACCCATACAGTCTGCTTCTGCTGCCTGTGGATCAAGATGTAGAACTCTCAGCTCCTTCTCCAGGACCATGTCTGCCTTCATGCCACTGTGTCCCACCGTGAAAATGACGGACTAAACCTCTGAACTGTAAGCCACCCCAATTAAATGTTCCTTGTAGGAATTTGGCAGAGTCGCTGTATCTGGGGTAGACATTAGAGTGAAGAGTTGTTTTCTAGAGGTACTTTGACCTTGAAGAATCATTGTGGAAAACAGAAAAGAATTTTTGTGGAGAACAGTGACTGTTTTCCATGATTTGTAACTTGTTTTTCTGAAGGGGTTTTGCAGCCATTGCATGACTTTGGTCACAAGATGCCTGTGGCACACCAGAGGCTCTTGGATGTGTCTTGCAATAATACACAGTAAAGTCAGGAAGGGGTGTGATGCTCTCTTTTAGAGAGACATATAGATTAGATAGGATCTTGGTATGAGGAGAAGCTTTACATAAAAACAGCTTTGTGTAGCAATAAGTATATGGCCATTTAGGGTTCTGTTCAGTTTGTCAGAGGCTAGACCTTAATAATTTCATCCTGGAGTGACCTCTTTCTTCAATCAACCCATGTAACACAGAATACCCTAATTAGATGTTTCCTTTATAAGAGTTGCCATGGTCATGGTGTCTCTTCTCATCACAACCGTCATCACCATCACAACCATTACTACTGCTACTACAACCACCATCGTCATGATCATCACCATCACTAACACCATCTTTACTGTCACCATCACCACCACCACAACCATCATCAGCATCATGACAATCACCACCACCACCTTTATCAGAAGCAGCATCATAGTTATCACCATGATCACCAACGTCACCGTCAACATCATAATCACCATCGTCATCACCATCATCAGCACCATTAGCAGCAGCATTATTGCTGCCATTCTCAATCAAGTGTTAATGATGCAGCTAGCAGGGATTATGATGTAACCATACTCCCTGAAGTAAACCTTGTTACCCCAGCCTACCCTGCCAGTGTCACCCTTGGGTGCTCTGTGTCTTCCCAACCGCCCTTTCACAAGACCTTTCTAAGACCACCACCTAGGCAGACAAACGGGATGCTGGGCTAATGCCTGAGTCACCAGGCTTTCTTACCATCAGTGGGGTTGGCAAACTCCTTGGGCACAGCTGCCCCATCATCCAGCTCCACCGCTTCTAGGCCCACTCGGACCCCCTCGATCTGGACATCATGCTCTCCGGAAGCCAAGTCGTCCTCTGACCTTGCGCTCTCTCCTGTGCGGCGGAATTTCACCACCCTGGAGAAGACGGCAATGTGATCAACATGGCTAGAGCTGCCTCCCCATGGCCTTGCTGCTCAACTTTCCTACTCAAGACAGGTACAGAGCATTTTCTCACCATCTGGAGGGCTAGCCGAGTGGAGCTGGCATTTATGTTGAATTTGGTTGGGCATGAAATGGGGGTGGTGGTGATGTTGCAAGTTATTGATCTGCTGACAGTTGGACAGCTGGGCGCTGAACAGTAGTGGCAGCTGGCCTTCTCATGTGCACGACTACGCCTTTGTCCTAGACCTGAGCTGTTTTGACAAAGGCTCATGCATTGCTTAATAGTTGTCAGAATGCGTCGTTGGCCATTCCCTAACTGTGCGAACGTCATAGTATGTGTTTACAGAGACAGACAGTGATGAGGTGACCTAGTCTCATGGGTTCACTGTCGTATGTCCAAGGGCATCACTGAGTGGTGTGTGTGCAGTGTAGGGCTGCTTGTCTGGGTCTTCAAACACATCTGCCTGTAACAGGTAATGACTGGATCACACACACGAGGCTTAGGAAGCAAAACTGCTCTGTTCCTGTCTTGGCTTTGACTGACAGCAGGGGTTCTCAGCCTTCCTAACACTGCTACACTTTCCCCACATTGTGGTAGTGACCCCCAACCATAAAATGATGTTTGTTACTACTTCATAAGTATAACTTTGCTACAGTTATGAGTCATAATGTAAACATCTGATATGCAGGATAACGGATGTCATAGGTTGAGAACTGGTGACTTAAAGGGACTTCACATAAAAGCCACATTCTCAGTCTCTTGACTGTGACAGGGACATAACTCCATCTTGACCTTGTCTCCTTTTCTCTAAATGGCCTCTAGCCCTGAGGGCTGTGATCTCATCTCCATGCTCCTCTGCTTCTCCGCACTCCACACTTTGCCCATTTGTCTGGCCCTGAAGACATTTGAATTTGAGACTCCACAGACCTCTACATTGTGCCACTTTATTGTCAAATTGTGTGTCCTTCCCTCCATCTCTCCATCCATCCATCCATTCATCCATCCATCCATCCTTCCTTCCTTTCTTCCTCCCTACCTCCCTCCCTCTCACTGTATAGCCCAGACTGGCCTTGAACTCTTGATTCCTCCCACCTTAACCTCCAGATGCTTCACAGGTGTGCATCACTACTCCTGTTCCAAACAAAGCTATTTCTTGTCTCTGGGGCTGGGGAGACATGGCGTCTTTGAGAGACTGTTTCTTTTTTTTTTAAAGATTTTATTTATTTATTATGTATACAACATTCTGCTTCCATGTATATCTGCACACCAGAAGAGGGCACTGGATCTCATAACGAATGGTTGTGAACCACTATGTGGTTGCTGGGAATTAAACTCAGGACCTCTGGAAGAGCAGTCGGTGCTCTGAGCCATCTCTCCAGCCTAAGGGACTGTTTCTTTATCTGAGACTTGGGACAGAGTGAACAGTCTCCTTGCAACCTTTTCCCTCCCAAACACAAGACCCCTGCTGTCTGTCACCCCAGCTTTGAAGTCACAGTCAAATGTACTCCCCAGCTCCAGGAGAGGGAGCTGCCCAGTGTGGGAGGCTCCTTTCTTTTTCTTTTTTCTTTTTTTTTGGGGGGGGGCATGGGTTTTTGGAGACAGGGTTTCTCTGTGGCCTCAAACTCACAGAGATCCGCTTGCCTCTGCCTCCCAAGTGCTGGGATTTAAAGGCATGTGTTATTATTGCCTGGCCAGGAGGCTCATTTGTATGTGACTTTGAAAAATCACCAACAGCAGAGGGGCCGTGTGAGCAACTGAGCAAAATGAACCTTGGTTTAAAGAGGCAGAAGGGGCAGGCAAGCTCAATACAAACTGCTACTATTATTACTATTGTGATGGTCTCATGTAGCCCAGGCTGGCTCTGAATTCGTTATACACCTGAGGATGGCTTTGAACTTCAGATTTCCCAGCCTCTACCTCCTGAGCAATGGAATGGTCAACATGCTTGATCTGTGCTGAGATTCAAACCCAGGGCCTCACACATGCTAGGCCTGTGCTCCCCCAACAGCCCCTCCTGCTGTGACAGCTCTTGAATTATTCCATGGACCCATGAAGACTCTCTCTGTGCTGTGATATTCAACACCCTTGTTTCAGAAGCACAGGGAAGCTGCCCTGCTTGGAAGCTTCTAGAATACACACATGCCTAGTCACAGGGATGTGAGGACAGACAGGATCTTCATTCTTAGTGACACTGTGCCTGGAAAGGGGCCAAATGCAGGGTGGGGTGGCTGAATGTGAAGCCTGTGGCTGATACTTCTGTCTCCTGCATTCTGTGGAGTATTTAGGACCAGTGAGTTTGTGTGGCTTGGTGGGCATTTTCTTTTCTTTTTTTTTTTTTTAATCTTTGTTTTGTTTTGTTGACAGGGTTTCTCTGTGTAGTCCTGGCTGTCCTGGAACTCACCCTGTAGACCAGGCTGGCCTCAATCTCAAAGAGATTTGCCTGCCTCTGCCCCCCAAGTGCTGGGCCTAAAGGCATGCAATGGTTGGCATTTTCTACATGCTTTGTTTGCATGACAGCTCTGTGAGGTTGCTGTTATCACCATTTTACAGACAAGAAAAACTGAGGCCATGACATCATGTGACATGCCCAAGACCATATCACACAACCCCAGAGGCATGGAACAAGGGTTCTATCCCAGGTCTGCCTGGGTCTGAGTCTCATGTTGCAGGCACACTAGAAGCGTCTCTCTCTCTCCAGATCTGTCCATAGCTCCCATGTGCTCCAAACCTTTGTGGAAAATGCTTTACATAGAACTATTTCAAGTGTATAAAATCATACAGAAATCCATTTTCTCCTTTCTACTCAACACTTCCCTCAGGCTGAGCCACAGCATGCCGCCAACCTTAGAGTGTAGTCAGAGGGTGCCACAGATTTGTCACTACACATTTCACAGGTGACTCTTCCTCAGTCACATGTGCCTCACTATTCAATTCAACCCTCTAAACACCCTGAGAAGGAGGCCTGTCACCATCACCTCTGGAGGCTGCTTACATCTTTACACGCAGGCTAGGATGACTGTATTGTTTTCCGGAAGCATGGCCTAAAATGGGAGCTTCCAGGCTGGAGAGACCACTCAGTGTTAAGAGCACTGGCTGCTCTTCCAGAGGACCCGAGTTCAATTCCCAGCAACCACATGGCAGCTTACAACTGTCTGTAACTCCAGGTCCAGCAGATCTGGCATCCTCACACAGGCATATGTGCAGGCAAAACATCAATGCACATAAAATAAAAATAAATTTTAAAAAATGGGAACTTCATTTCTTTTTTTAAAAAGATTTTATTTATTTATTTATTTATTTATTTATTTATTTATTTATTTATTATGTGTACAGTCTTCTGCCTGCATGCAGGCAGAGGGCACCAGATCTCATTCAAGGCAGTTGTGAGCCACCATGTGGTTGCTGGGAATTGAACTCAGGACTTCTGGAAGAACAGTCAGTGCTCTTAACTGCTGATCCATCTCTCCAGCCCAAGGGAGCTTCATTTCTTGTTCCTCCTCCTCCTGTTTTGTTTTAGATGACGGAAAATGCCCATAACATAACCCTGAGCACCCTGACCATTTTAAGTGACCTGTTCATCGGGATAAAGTATGCTTGCATCCATCATTCCCCCCAAATCTCTGGATCTGTTCCATCTTTACATCTCATACTCTGTCCCCTTAAACCCCATTTCTTCCTGCACCCCAGAACCCAGGACCCAGCATCAAGTCAGACCCAGTAGTTGTTATTCTCTTCTAACTCAGCTGCCATAGAGAGCTCATGTAAGTGAGTCAGCATTTTATTCCTGTTATTTTTCAATCCTGGGGATTGAATCTAGGTCCTTGTGCATAGGAGGTAAGCTCTGTGTCATTGAGATATGCCCACCACTTTCTTTTTTTACTTTAAGACTGTCAAAGTTTCACTAAGACACCGGGGCTAGCCCTATACTCAGTCTGTAGCCAAGGCTAGCTAGCCTTGAACTTGTGATCTTCCTGCCTCAGACTCCTAGGTGGCTAACATTACTAGCCTGAATCATTACCAAGCCCATTTCCTCACTCCTTTGTGAAGGCTGAGTAATAGCCCATTGTATGAACATACCACAGTCGGTCCATTCGCCAGCTAACAGGGACTTAGGTGCTTCCTGCCACCTTTTGTTCATTGTGAACAATGCTATGACAAACAGGACTGTGCAGATTTCTGTTTGAGCCCTGGATTTTTATTTATTTATTTATTTATTTATTTATTTATTTATTTATTTGTTATGTATACAGTCTTCTGCCGGCATGCCAGCAGAGGGCACCAGATCTCATTCAAGGTGGTTGTGAGCCACCATGTGGTTGCCGGGAATTGAACTCAGGACCTCTGGAAGAACAGTCAGTGCTCTTAACCGCTGAGCCCGGATTTTTACTTCTTTGTCATATAAACCGATCAATGTTTAAAATTTTGAGGGACTGCCAGAGTGGCTTGCACACCACTTAAATATCCCCACAGATTCCTGTCTCTGCGTGCACTTGTCAATCATTGCTCGTTTCAATTTTGTCTGAACATAGACAACTGACGAGTGCACTATGGCTTACCGGGGCTTTAGCATTTGCATCTTTCTTTTATTAAAGTATATTTTTAAAATTTAAAATTGCATATTCGTATACTGGCACACTCCACATCACATGCCTGGAGGTCAGAAGACAAACTCCAGGGATCAGTTCTCTCCTTCTACTTTGTAGGACACAGGCATCAAACTCAGGCTGTCAGGACAGTGGCAGGAACCTTTGCAGCCTAAGCCGTCCTGCCAGCCAGCCCTTCATCTGCATTTTTCCACATTGAGTTTGCACAGGCTATCGGGAAACAGACTTTGGAGCAATGTCTATTCAGGTACTTTAAATTATCTGTTTTTCAGATTTTCTCTATGTTGCCCATTCTGCCCTCAAACTCGGCATTCTCCTGCCTCAGCCTCTGAAGTGCTGGGATTAGAAGCTTGTGTCAGCATGCCTCC